CTAATAGGGTGATAAATATCTTCGGTTCCATTTTAATTTTCCTTTGTTGTTTTGTGTTTAGAAATGTATGATGAGTCTAAAACAAAGGATAATAAACAGTGAACTTGCATTAAATAAAATTGAGACGGTATAGTCTATTAAATACATTGCCAAAGACAACATGTCTGACGGTAAGTGCAAAACACATTTCACTCAATGCAAAACAGAGGCTCATAAATTCATAAACGTATTTCATTTTCGTATTTTTTTTCGCAATGTGTAGTCAGTATTCTTTCTAATAGTTAGCGTGCACACCACTGAAAACAAATCTAAGAGATTTAATCGAAAAAGGTGCAGATAAAAAGTTCTAAGCCACTAACAAGAAGGTTGTTCAAGCAACACATGTTTTTTACCCTTGGTTTAAATTTTACTTTCCTTTCTTTAGGGGGTATGGTAATGCATGATAATGAGTTTGAAATAAACTGGAAATAAAATTTAAACCAAGGAGCCATAAATTCAAACCACAACTCATACATTGGAAAAGATGATTTTCATTCTCTGTCATTTCTTTCAGTGAACTATTTTCAGAAGTTTTGATCCATTGAGTACACCCTCCACATTGGTTTCATTTACCTACTGATGTAATATTTTTCCGAAATTTCTGTTTCCTTTATCCCCAAGAGATTTCTTTTTAACAAAACGCTGACTCAGATAAGGCGATATTTCTTAGGAAATCGTACAATAACAAACAGCAAATACTGTGAACAATTTCATCTTAGACAAAATAGACTCAAAATAAAGGACCACCTGTCCAGAGCAGTCAAGAAGTAAATTAAACCGGGAAACTTCAATATACTTGCAATTAGTTTGTCATAAGAATAGCACAGAGCCTACAGAATATGTCAGTGTACGGATCATCTATACATTAGTTTTTATGTTGACAGATCAGAGTTAAATTAATCTGCAGGTAAGCAATTTCCATAACGCCTAGTCACCACGGCACTTGTTCAGAGATCCAACGACTTTTAAAATGGAAGCACGCAATCGATCATACATCACAGAGACTGGGCACTGACTAATCAACAAATAAACCAGAAAAATACATGTCTCATTTTTTTACTTTCCAAAGAAAATATAGCTCGCATTGCAGGTGTTTTTTAGCTGATTGCTGGTGACATAAACGGAAATATAACATGTTCAATATTGGCTTTTACCGGTGCTTTATTTCACAAAACAACGACGCGAGGAAACTTAAGCTTATATGAAATTGCCCTCGATCTTCGCCAGGGGCCCTGATTTTGTTTTTATTTCAAACAGAGCCACAGTCGTAATATTTATGACATCCTGCTAGATTTGTGTGCCAAGATTAAACCACTTTCCAACTAATCGGTTGGAGACAGTCGCTGATCTCAAATTAAAACAGCGTAGATATACAAAATTTTCTTAGACGCAGCGACAGTCCTGAAGCAGTTGAGCGACAACGTCCATCTTTCTCTTACTTTACAGATATTACTGAAACGACGTATTTAAAAGTAGGCTTGATTACACTAGTTCTAAATACAGCTATTGAGTACTTACATATAACACAAGGTAGCAACCCACTGTCCTATTGCTTCGAGTGTCTGTGGCTTGAATCGTGTGATGTGGGAGTTGAAAGAATAAATCGGAGCAAACAGCTGCTGCTTTTTACTTCTTTTTGAACCAACTCAAAATTTTTTATACTGCTTCCGCCATTTTGAAAAGAAGAAGACCCTTCATTCCCATCATACCTTGCAAGGGTGAGACGTCGTACCCTGGAATATCTGTGGCCCCGTCGCCCGCTTTGTCATGAAAAAGCCCCTCCTCCAGATAAGACATAATGACAAAACAATCAGGGTATAGATGGTTTTCACAGTGACGTCATCTAATGGTAAAGTCAAAATAGCGAGGTTTTACGAATTCTTATTTACACTAGGTTGAAGATAAACAAAAAGTAAATCTTTGTACAAGTTTCCATTCCCGTAGCATGTTTCATTTCGAAAATACAGCAATTTGAACTTCCGAATTTTCACAGCGCGTGACATCAAAATAGGAATGCTGTCTCGTTGAAAAAAGAGCCTCTCCTCTTGATTTTCAGCAGTATAACGATTTGAAGTATGAGAAGACATGTTTATACGCACGTACGGCTAGTTCTTGAGTGAAAAGAAACAGCTTTTAAAGGAAACGTAAACTCCAGCTGTTTTTGTTGATTTTCGGCAGCCATATTGGTGGACCAAAGCGGTCCACCAATATGGCGTCTCCATACAAAGCTCTACAAAGTTGCGTGAAACGTTTCGGCAAATAACTCACAAACTGTGGGCCACAAAGACCCGAGACTTGGACAAATTGTTTATATATTAGTCTTTTATAACATTTCATCTTCTTGGCTTCCTCCACAGGATGGTTTCCAATTTATTTTTTCGTTGCGTGACAGTGAAAACGATCTATAACTGAAATAACTCTTGCTCTCATATCGAATTATAGGACGCTGGCGTACGACCCTACACCCCGTTCTTGCAGTGGCAGATCTAAGGGAGATACTCGGGGGTGCGCCGCCCCCACCTTACTTTTAGGCCAGAGGCCCCGCAGGCCGGACCCCCACTTACTTAAAGATCAGGTCCCGGTTGTTCAAACGTTAGATAGCGCTATTTATTATATAAACTGCAGTGTTTTACAAGGATTTCTACCACCGAGAAATGTGGTATCTGAACACACGTAAAAATACGATATTTTTACATGTGAAGATATCGATAATTTCGCTGACATCAGGTTTGTCTCTTAAATTGTACTTAAATTCGTTGGTGTATCATCGAAACATCTTCGGGTCTTCCTCGAAAGTGCTCGGCAATCTTCGGAAATTCTCGGAAAATGTTCGGGAACGTTCGTCTGGTCTTCGGAACAATTTGAAAAATCTTCGGAAATCTTCGGAAGGTGGTCGGAAATCTTCGGAAAATCATCAAAAACGCCGTCATCAGTATGTTTATATAATAAAAAGAATATTACACGGTGGCGAGAAGATATGAATTTTATGTTCTCGTGGCAAGAGCAATATCTCACTCGTTCGCTGCGCTCACTCGTGAGATGTTGTTCTTGCCACTCGAACATAAAATTCATATCTTCTCGCCACCGTGTAATATTCTCTATATATTCACCGGATAAATCACTTTCCAGTGGATAAGTATTAGGGAAACCAATTGCTTTATCCACTGGATAGAGCCAGTGGATAGCGTTATCCACCTTTTGAAAAACTGGAGCCGTCACTCTATTTCCGTAGATGCACGCACTTGCGTATGGTGGATATATTGTAGTTAATTTTTTCTCTCAGGTAATTTTTGTTTTTCCTTTGTTTCAACTTCATTAGCACACATTAACATACCCCCAAAACAATAGAAAAACAAAAATTACCTCAGATAAAAAAACTACGACAGATACATATTAAAGTCAGTGATATAAAGCGTCATCCGTTTTTTCTAGAAAGAGAGAAAAGCTTGGGAATAAGGTTGATGGTCAGTGACCCCGCTTTGAATACGTAAAAACCAGGGGATTAGGTCACTTATTCCTGGCCAAAAAAATCCACAAACCTAAGGACTATGAGAAGTATGACTACATCAACAGGAAAGGTCTTCAAGCCGGTTAATAAAATCGAAATCGGTGTTTTATTAACCCTAACAACACTGGTCCACGCCTCGTGTTTTAAAATACATGAAACATACTCCAGCCTGTTTAATTAACATAACATTTTACAATTTATTTTATTACAGTTTGGTAATAAGAATACATCCCACCTTCACCTTTTCAGTAATTCAGTGCCAAAGACATTTTTTACTTTACCATTCAAATGAAAGCTACTGAGCAGTACTTTCGTGTGGTACTGTTTATTATGCTGTACAAGGTGTTTCTAACTTTTGAGTCTGTGGATGAAATCCTAAAGTGTGACCATTCAAATGAAAGCTACTGAGCAGTACTTTCCTGTGGTACTGTTTATTATGCTGTACAAGGTGGTTCTAGCTTTTGAGTCTGTGGATGAAATCCTAAAGTGTGACTATCCATCTGAAAGCTACTGAGCAGTACTTTTCTTTAGTACTGTTTATTATGCTGTACAAGGTGGTTCTAACTTTTAAGTCTGTGGATGAAATCCTACAGTGTGATCATTCAAGTGAAAGCTACTGAGCAGTATTTACCTGCGGTACTGTTTATTATGCAGTACATCGTGGTTCTAACCTCTTCAATAGCATTTTCTAATTCACGTGGTGCTTTTTGTTTTTCTTAAAAACGGAAGTTTGGTAATTTTATGGAACTTTGATTTTTGTCGCTTTTGAAGTTAAAAAGGTGTCCTAATCAATGCAGTAAAATAATTATCATGATGATAATGATTAGGGGGTCACTGATGTAATTTAATACAATTATGTTCCTTTAGCTTACAAGATGTACTGGTAAAAAAAACGTCATATACAAGCATTATGGAACAAGGCATACATTTGTTACTTAACAATACAGACATCTGAGCCACCAGTACAAAAAGAAAAAATGTTTTAATGTTTCCGACTCTTCATTCCCGTCTCAGATTTTCCAACCTAAAATAAATAAATGAATTAACATACAGTCAACTCTCTTCTAGCCAGCAGGTAAGCTCTTCATTTCGAGGGGAAAGCGAAGCAAGCCGCCAATAAACGCGCGAGCAGGCGGTAAAGCTGCGAGGAGCAAAGGAGACTTTGACGTTAATTCCTGTGGCATGAGTTATTATGCTGTACAAAGGGGTTACAGTTTTCTACTCGTTTTGAAAATGAGGCTGGAGATAACTCGGAAATGGCCTATGGCACGTCCTGTCGTCATGGCAATGTCAACTTAGCCTCATTATGAAAATGAGGCAAGAGGTAACTCGGAAATGCCCTATTGCCTGTCATGTAGTCGTGGCAATGTCAACTTAGCCTCATTCTGAAAATGAGGCAAGAGCTAACTTGGAACTGGACTATTACCCATTGTGTCGTCATGGAAATGCCAACTTACCTAGCCTGTAAATCGGCATCAGCATCAGCCACAGCTTGTTTCGGGGCTGCTTCTTTGTTACCTATCGCCCCTGAAGTGGTTGGAAGGCCGGTCAGCTGGAATAAAATAAAACCTTGTTAGAGAGTGCGCTTTACACCTTGTTGTAAGGCTAGGCTCAGTCCACTATTCTCACTACATATATAATGAGCACATCTCGAGAACATGTCTGCATTCTACCAATCCCAGAGTTCTTAGCAATCTAACCACATCACCAGGCCTTGCTGCATATTTTTGCCCAGGCAGTCATGGATTCCTTTTATAAATAAGTTTGTGGTGATGTGACAACAGGTATGCAGAGAGGATAAATCGCAACTGAAGATACACAACTCACACTCAGATTGTCAAGTCACAGTCAACAACAGTCTTATTCAGGCTACACTCAGCCGAACGATCATACATGTATAACCTTTTAAGTCTCAAGAATGATCAATATCAAAAACAATATCCATACAAAAACAAGACAAAAAGTTATGAAAATTTATAAAATGATGACCAAAGGAGAAATGCTTTGATCTTTTATCAAATTCTCAGTTTTTGTCACCATCAGTCCTATTCCCGACTTCACCCACCCGGAACACCATACAAGCCTTTTAGTCCCAAGAATGACAAATGTTAATTTTCTCCTTACAACATCCATACGCAAAACTGAAAAAGGTCATGAGAATTTATAAAATGATCATCTAAGGAGAAATGCTTTGATCCTTTATCAAATTCTCTCCACTATTGCTTAACGAATTGATCGGTCTGGAGAATTGGGGCTTAAAGAGATAACAATGTATTTACCTCATCAGTAAGGACGAGTCCTAGCTCATCAAAAACTTGCTGGACTATTTGATCACTGCAGTGGACAAATAAATTGAAAAACGTTAACTCTACTATTGTTTCATTGTTTTTCTTGTTTTATTATCATTTTGCCATATAAGACAGTTAAATATTTATACATAAAATTATAAAAAAAAAGACGAGGCAAGGAATCCCAAGGAAGCCAATAAGGCTTATGAATTGGACCAGCTTTAAAAATATATTACCTAATTAATAAATACAATACTGGCATCAGCAAGACAATTATTTAACTAAGCACATACAATTCCTTGGAAAACAACATGGAAAATAATCATTAAATACGATAAACAAGGGGTAAGGCTGAACGTGCAAGTGCAAAAACGAAAAAGAAAAAGTGAGAAAAAATAATGCAAGACTATATGAGAAAAAAAAGAGGAAGGAATAAGCGAAAAACTACACCCGAGCATTAAGAGAAGTAAAGTGTGCTTATACTGAGAAAAATCACTTTAGTTTAGAAGTGAACACAGCAATACTAGAGGCATTGATTCTGAATTTCAGATCTAAGGGAATTAAATATTTTGGGCCATTAAAAACAAAAAACATTAAATTTTCATTTATCCCTTTTGTCCCAAGACTGACGAACATCAAAAATTATTTTCTCCTAACAATATCCATTCAATATCAAGAGAAAAGGTTATGAGAAGATATGACCACCAAAGGGAAAATGCTTTGATTTCTTATTAAATTTTCCCTTCCTATAAATTTCTTAAAGGAAAGGTATGGAGAGCAGCCTGGGAGATTTACATGTGTTAGTTCAATAGGCTCGGGGGTAATTTCCCATGAAAATGATAAGAGTGCTCTGGGGTTGATCTAGGAGCTATTGTGGATCATTACACATTTCTGGGAAACTGCCCACCTACCCCTCCCCTAAGCCAACATTTTGCCCTAAGTGAGGAATAAGTGCTAATGTTGGCTTAGGGGAGGGGTAGGTGGGCAGCTTCCCAGAAACATTGAAGATGCAGCATCTTGGGGGGATTCAAGTGCATCCTCCCTTGAAAAGTTTCTTAGACTAACCTTTCTTCATCATCCTCCTCGTCACCAATGACATCATCAATGGCATCATTCATCATTTCTTCTTTCATGTCCATGATTTCAGACTGAAAATGGAACCAATGATAACATTAACACCCCGTTGTGTACCCGTCCCCATTCAGCAACCTTTCTATCCTTGGGTTCTGGAGTCTTGATTTGGGGCTAACAGTTTTCGCTGCAACTTTGACTCCCACTCCTCTTCACCCCCACCGAAAAATGAGGTTCATAGATTTACCTATCCCTCCTCATTGAATTAATGACTGTGTTTTTGCTGCAGTCATTAGGGAGCTTAAGCAACTACGAAGATAACGACAACGACAACTTCAAAAAACAATAGGTTTAATGATCAAAACAACAGCTCTGCACACACATCAAGCTTTTTAGTACATTTCTTTGACGTCCACTGCACGACTACGACGTGAAGCCTCCTAATTTGACGTTTTGATGTGGCTAAATATCATTTAGGCAAAGTTAAACTCGAGCGAGCTGGCTAGCGGTCTTCTCCCACTTCAGTATGTGACCTACGGGGCGGCCCGCGGGGAATTGCAGGGCTCCTTGTGTACCCTTTTGCCAGTGTTGCTTTGCATTGTAGCTTTGCTTGCTGATCGTAGCGGATCAATTTTTGCCTACTTGCGAATCATTGCGGATTCTTGCTCCCTCTTCTCCCTCCCTGCCTGGTGGTTTGGTAAGTATTTTCTGAGGTAGGTATTCTCTTAGGTAAGTATCTCCACTGAATTTATTCAGTGTGACGGTGCTGGTTAGTGGCTGCTCTTGGGTGGTTCCCGCTTCCAGGGTTGCCATGGATACCTCCTCTCTGCTTATTGCATTTGGCCCCCTACTAACCTTTAAGGCACCTGCTCCCAAGCTCATCATTAGCGATGAGTTTAATGGGGGACGTGGACATACGACAACAAATTTTCCTTCCTCTTTTTGATCCTAAAATCCTTAAGAATTCAACTCCAGGAAAAGTCGTCTGCATATATTGAGATATTGAGCGGGTCCAAATAGATGCGATTAAGTTTGAAAGAATGCAAATGTATTTTTTAGCAACGTTTTCACTGCTGTCATCATCGTCGTTGCTTAAGGTCCCTATTTTTTCCAGTCAACTCTCTCTTAATGGAAACCTATATAAGACAGACACCTTGCTAAGACGGACACCTAGAGTTGGTCCCTGCCTTTCTTTACTGCCTTTACTTGACCAGGGATGTCGCTAAGATTTCAAGTTTCCGGGTAAATACAATAAGTAGACGGGGAAGAAAACAGCTAGGGATTTCTTTTGGTTCTACTTTCCTTCTATTTTCCTATGAAAGTAGCGGGGGGAAATCCCTGGCCTCTGCCTCTCAATGACAGCCCTGTTTGACTCTCTATAAGATGGACATTTCTCTAAGATGGACATCTACATGTAGTGGTGTTCCCAAAAGTGTCCGTCTTAAAAGAAGTTGACTGAACGGTTTTCAAAAAGAATTTTTATCAAACCTGTTTTTCAAACTCCATCATGATCTTTTGGATCTGTGGAAGTTTCAATGCTTTGTTCATATTTGCCATAGTCTGGAAAAAAAAAGAAGCCATAAAGTGTTAAAAGAAAATGATACTGGAACCACTTGACAGAGATGGTAAGCCTGTAATGCTTGGAAAACCATGGCACATGTAATTGAAAACCTTACATTACATTGTTTAACAAAACAATCAAAGAACATTTACATCTACATTTACCTGCATACAAAATATGATAATATTCAGGGCCCAGTTGTTCGAACGCTGGTTAGCGCTAACCCAGGTTAAATTTCAACCCGGGCCTCTTTTTCTTTTCATCAAAAGCACTCTCTCGGATAATTTTCTATATTTTTTTTAGAGTATCCAATCATCAAATTATAGGCAAAGAAAATTAAAAATTTCACACTAACCCTGGGTTATCTTAACTCAGCTTTGAACAACCCGGTCCAGGGGATTGGGGGAGGGGGAAGTAGAGATGCTCCCTTCTCCTGCAAGGGGGCAAGGACATAAGAGATACATTCTCTCTCAGCAGAGGGAACAGAGGAAGGAGAGGCTCTTTCTCTTCAACATGGGGTAATGAGTGATGCCTTCCAAGGGAGGGTATGCTGACGCTTTGTTGGTCACTTTTGAGACTGCCTATCACCTCGTACGTTAGGAAAATGCCACTGTTGAATTTTAGCTTGGAAGAAAATGTTGCGTCGGATCAGCATAAATTTTTGTGATTCTCAGTTTTGGAATTGATGGTAGATATAGCGCCTGGAAAGAATTATAATTGTTATTAACCTTTCTCCCTGGACAGACCTTTTTTCAATAAAAACAACTCCAGAAAATGATTCAAAGAAAATAACAGAAAAGTTTTGGAAATAAAGGAAGAGAGATTGTTATTTCACTACCAAAACAGAGAAAATATAAAAGACATCAAAATAATGTCTCTCACTACATGTACTTAAAAAACAAATTGTCATTGTCGGAATTCTTTCCTCCTTTTCTGCCAATTGTTGGTGCTTTCTGAGAGGATTTTTGCCAGTTTTTGGGGCCAAGTCACCTATTGCTTTCACCCCTTAAAAGGCCCCATGGGCAGAGACAAAACACTCTCTCTCTCTCCAGGGGGGTAGTGGGGTGAAGAGAGACTCTCTTCAACAGGGGGGCATGGGAAAGGAGCGACCCTCTCTCTTTAGCAGCTAGGGGCGTGGCATTGACTTTCAGCCAGAAGGGCTCTGTTGAGGGATCTGCTTAAACTACAGCTATTGGTGAAACATTTTAAACTAGACGTTCCTGCATTAAATTAGGTGTAAAGTGTACATGTCCTGTAAGGAAAATAAAATAATCATATTCTTGAGCACACAACCCAATCTATGACACCAGGAAGTCAATAAAAAATGGACAAAACTATTAAGCAATTTCTATATATAGTGTACATTATCCTGGAAGATATTTCATTAACAGTTAAACATATTCATACCTTTGCGACCCCCTTCATAGCTTGAGCCATGGCATTGTTTGATCGTAATGTCTGAAAAAAAAAATTATCTTACTTAACTTATGTGTGGTTCCAAGACACTATTACACCAAACTTGGTCCCAAGGCTTTTTCCCTAATGATGTCTTCACCCTGAGAATGTACTCAAGTCATTTAACTTAAAGGGGTTTTAATTTAAAATGTGGAAATTGGCAGCTATTTATGAAGGTTTGACTTATCCGAGCACTTCCGGATAATCTGGTCACTTGCCAATCATCTTGTCATGAATTTCGACCATTTCTAATTTGACAAAATTCATTTGCTTGCTTGTAAACTTGCAAATTTATTTATCACTGAAACATGCAAACAGATTAATTTTTGTTCAAGGCTTTGCCATTGGTTCATTTCTGGAGTGTATTGTTTTTTAGAAAAACGTTAAAAAGGCTGGTCTGATCGAAATTTGCCTTGAAAGTAACCACAAAAGTTTTTGACCAGCCAATGCCAGCCTTTATCCACCGTTCCCATTTTCTATGGGAAAAAACCCTGGGAACAAGGTTGATTTATACAAAAGCTCAAACCCCAATGCCCTGGGAAAAAACCCTGGGAACAAGGTTGATTTATACTAAGAGGCCACCCTCGGGGTAACAGCAAAGGGCAGCTCAGTGCTAAAAGCATAAGATTTTTTGAAGACCAGGTAATTGGAAATGAGTTTTTGTATACGTGGTAAGACTATTATTGTCCAGATTCAAGTGAAATTTTTTTTTGTCTTAAAAAATGTACACTCAACCCCTGGGGGGGGGGGGAACTCCCTTATATGACCTATCCACACATGTGCCGCTGGACAGGGTATAGTTTTTGTCCTCTCTGTCCTAACCAAGGTATACAATTTTGCGCAAGTCTCTCCTAAACAGTGAATACAATTTCACGCAAGTCTGTCCTAAACAGTGTACATGTCCTTTGTCCTAAACAGGGTGATAAAATTGAGGTTTTTGTCCTACACAGGGTCATTGACTCACCTCTACCCAAATGTTAGTCGAGTCCCCACCCCCCGTGTGACTGAACCCAACTTATCTGAAACAACATCAACATTTTCAGGTTGGCAACTGTACATTCTACAGACCAGTATGGCTTTAATGGACAGATCTTTACAAAGACAATTAGGTTTGTGAAACTTTTATAAAACATTGTAAATCAACTATTTGTAAAGTTATGGTATTGGGTGCCAATGGAGGGATTAAAGCTGGGATTTAAACCATTGGACTTAAGACATGTACACTGGATCCTTAAGCTGATTTCCATATGCATGTTGTCAAAACTCTAATGGCTTATAAAATTATTGTAAGTAACTTGATTTTTTTAGCAAATGTAGCCAATCATTATAGGCATGAGGCTTTGTAGATAGAACCAAAGTCTATCTAAGTGAATGTTTAAATATCACAACAACTACACTTATTGCAGCAGCCACAATCAGTTGTTTTTATTTATAGCAGCTATAACACCTGTTGTGATCACTCAACTTTTTTTCAGGGAAGCAAGCAATAATTTAAGGCTGGTTTTTACTATAATTCTTATAATAAAAACCAGCCTTAAATTAATAATAAGAAATATTTTTGGTTATATCATCTTAAATGCTTCGAAACCATTCTGTCATCTTTCCCACCACAAAATAATCAGAAAATGAACTCTCACCTGAATTTTAAGAGATACTGCTTGGATGTTGGCTCTCATCAAAATAAACTTTTTAACATATCGTCTAGTTCTTACAAGATCTTTGGCCATTATCTTGACTGCATCCTAAAAAATGAAAACATATAAGTGAATGTGTGAGCAACACCAATATTAGAGTTTACATGGAAAACACCAGTTTTTCAATAAAGCATTTTATTGCTACCACCCTAATACTGATCTGGTCAGTTATTAGGGTACTACGCGTAATATATATATTTTTTATTAAAAGCTACTGTGTACTTACCTAAAGAATTATCCCGTAGCTCTTTGATCACTGGTGTATATTAATTTTTGCAAGGTAAACAATGTTAACTACTTCTTTATGAATTATGAGGAAAACCACATTACTTAGAAAATGTCCCCTCCCATAAATTAGCAAAATGAATGAAGGATGAAGAGGGCTGGGCCAACAGCTTGACATCACTGCCCAATGAGATGATCCTCTGAACTGATACACACACTGCCAGCGGGATCTTTACAGTTGCCTTGGTTAGAAGTGCATTAGGGGTTTGAAACTGGACCATTCTGCCAGCTCAAAAAATCTGCAGTTAATTAAATGATCAAAGCTACACATGACCAGGTTGCAGCCTTGTCCAATGCAAACCAAGACAACAAAAATAGATTGGCAACCTTTGACTAACACAATGAACACTTCTGCAACCCAACTACAGGTAGATATTAAACATCACCTACGAATCATCATGACCAAAATAATGTTGCTCGCACTCAGAGTTACAAGACTGTATAATATTATTATTTCACCCACATTATGATAAGCAGGGGTTTCATTAAGCATCGGAGATCGAAGAATTTTCCATCTAAAACGCATAATACTCCGGCTAAATTTCAATGAAGTATGGCTATTTTTTATTCAGACGAAGCAGACGTGGATATGTCATGTAAAAAGAAATTATTGTTGCTAATGCTATGTAAGTACAAAAATTTAAAATAATGATTGTCGACATACCATCTGTCCAGCTTTTGCCATTTTTTTAATATCTGCAATAACTTTTTTTTCTTGCTGCTCTAATTTACTTCTCTCTCTGTCAAGATCTCTGAAACGGGTAAGGGTTAAGGTTAACATTATCTATTTGGAATAATGATCCAACCTCCACACATCATTGGCAAAGAAAGTACTGTCTAATGGATTTTGCTATCGGGCCAGTGAATTCTGTTATTAACTTGTCCAATGAGCAAGTGAAGTTTTTTTGAAAAATTCAAATTACAGAAGAACTGTGAAATCAATCCGAACATCAAAACGTTTTTGGGGCTAGTTGAAAATGATGTTTGGGCTAGTAATGTTAGCTTCAGCTTGCCCCAATGGTAAGAAGTAAACATGACTTTCTTCACACCCTGGCACATCGACCACCTTAGAAAGAGCTGATGGTTATAATTTTTGGAGAAATAGCCATTGTTGAGGCTCTTTAGGGGTGGGAGCAGGGGGATGGGTGAGTAGATCCCTAGTCTTAATGTCAAAATTCTCCATTTCATAATAAAAAGTAGAGGTTTCTGATTGTTCCTCTTCAATATGCTGTATTGAATATTGAAAAGAAAGCCATGTCCCTGTTGGTACTCTTCTAGTAAAGGGGGTACATCCCCAGTCAACTTCCTTTATAGTAGACACTGTAGGGACTTTGAGTTAGTGTCCTCATTAACAAGAGTCCATAATAGTGGGAGTTTATTTCAGTCAAACATCTCTAATATACTTTTGGAGGGTATTTAGCTGCTGTTCGTATTATCGGGGTGTCCTTTATAGCGGGGTGTCTGCAAGGTGATAGTTGACTGTATTTACATGAGACCAGGATGAACTCAAGACTGGCATGAGTTCATATAAGTCTCCATACATTCTTTTCATGCGTTTACATAGGACCTGCCTGAAAATGAACTCAACCAGTTCGACTTCCTCTCAGGTCAGCAAGAGTTACTTGTTAATATGGATACCAAGCAGACATGCTATAGTGTCTGTATTAAGCAGGCTCTCAGAAAAAACATCACTGACACATAAGAACAGTAGGACCAAAGATTGCAGCATTAAGCCAAGCAAGTCAAACTTGTGTAGTTGAAGGCAGTGCAAGGGTCAAACATGAGAAAAAAGACAGACTTCAAACATGTCACACTGCATGTATTTTGCTTCTGTTTTTAAGTAATGAAATCATACTAGCTCAAAGAAATCTGTCATCATTTTAACTGAGTACAATGTTTACAATATTAGACCAAAGCAGGTGCCTGTAGAGTGGGCTTCTACTGTATTGGTGGAAACCGAAGAGCACTGAGCTAACAACTATTCTGCATAATAGGAGAGAACATAGACCTGTGGCAGGTTATTAGCAACTTTAGATGCACAAAAAGCTTCACTTCCCGGCCCACTAACTATCTAACTTAAAAAATTGCTCTTACAGTTCCGCAGTTGTCTGATTTGCAAAAGAAATTCTGATATCGACTGTGGGAGTACGAGACCTTGGAAGCACTGGTATACCTCGCTCTATAAGCACACTAGTTACTTGACATCGACTGCGGGAATGCAGAATCACTAGTTGTATACTCATTTAATATTCACTTTTCAGCGCCTATGGGAATATACAGGACTGTAGGAGCAATCATTTGACTCACTTGGATTGAAGTTTTCAGCATAACAGAACACGACTGCAACAGTGGTAGCAGTTTTTCAAGAAAGACATTTAGTGAGCTGGGTATTCTGCAATTGCTCTCTTATCTCTCCACTACAGAGGGGTAGGCCAAGAGTATTATATTGCTTTAATGTTACAATTTCCCATTTCGCTGAAAAGGTTGGCTGAAATCTCGTTAAAGAGCAATTTATGTAATCAAACAAGGGACCATTATCTAAACTAGCTCCCTTGCATTGTAAGACGACAAGACGTTTAAACCATATTAACAATGTTCAGTAGAAAAGACGCATGATTTAAAGACTGGTGCTATATGAAAATTTACGATGCATTTCGCGAAGTTCCAGAGTCGATTTCAGTCAAGGTACCAGCTATATAGTATAACCTGTCTTCACGATTTTAATTCTTCCATTAATCGCTGGGACAGGAACCAGAAAACATTCAGAACAGATCATACTTGCTTTAGTTTCAGAGATATGGGGAGCTTTACAAATAAGTATAAGCTCAAAACTATATAAGAATCACAGCTAAATCTAAACAACAACTCCATCTTAGCACACCTCATGGCTCTGTTCAAAGCACGTTGGTTCTGTTTCAGCATCTCCTCGGGTGTTTTCTTCTTCCCAAATAACCACTCCATGATGAATGAACTTTGCAAATACAACACGTGAAAGAAAATGATAGTTTCTTTTGATATAGAGTGCAGTGAAAGAAATTTCGAGCTTTCTTCTTCAACTACCAAAATAGAACTCGACGTCACTATGCTCGCGGGCTCATGATTTTGATGACGTCATGATCACTGGTTAGCGATGACGTTAGGAGGTGGGTACATTCTTTAGTTCTTTCGCGCGATCGCAGTGAAAAATGGAGAAAAAGGGACACAATAGATCAGACAATAAACTTGTTAATGCTAGATAAATAGTAGCCGCAAATATTTCAAGGTCTTAGCGTAGCTGAATAAAGCCAGGAGCCAGAGAACTAGAATGCAAAGTGGAAATGTTTAGTAAGGGCAAATGAAGTTGGAGGTCATCCCGAATATCAAAAACAAATCAGAACTTATAGGACTTAAATAAACCATAACAAATCAGTCCACGTGAACTGTTTCAGTCGTAATTAAGCAATACAGTCTTTCATTTGTTAATTTCGTTGTGAAGAATAATAAGGGGGAGGAGAGGGGGAGAGGGGCTTATCAACTTTGTTCCCTGAAAAGGGAGGTGTAATAGAGGATTTACGGTATTTCACACTACTTATGTGGGGTCGATATTTTTCCAATAGGATAATGGGTGCCACTGGACATCAGAAATGGTGTGACTCATGGATCATCGAAAATATTGAGCCATAGAAAAACTAGCAATGTTGTTCTCTAAAAGGACTCCTGAGGCTTCATCCACCGTCCTGGCGTCCACAGCAGGATATTACAGTACACAGATTGGTGGATTGGCACTAGTAACGATGACAGTTAGTCAAGAAGGGGTCAGAGCTAAGGTCAGAGCAGACAGAGCTGAACAACGTCTGCGCATGTGCTTAGACGGGAGAGGTCTGGGATCTAACCTAGTATCGTTTTCAAAGGGTTTTTCAAAACATCCTCACTTTTTGGCGATTATTAAGGTGGATTCTGAATATTTAAGGTTCTCATTTAAACTAAAGGTAGATTATTTCATACTTTATTGAATTCTCGTTTCTACCCTTGTAATTTTTCTTCTACTTTTTTCTATGAGCAAAAGAAGACGCACGAACGAAGCGTCCCTTCAATAATAGTATCGATTGCAAGGGTTTTTCAAAACATCCTCACTTTTTGGCGATTATTAAGGTGGTTTCTGAATATTCAAGGCTCCCATTTAAACTAAAGGTAGATTATTTCATACTTTATTGAATTCTCGTTTCTACCCTTGTAATTTTTCTTCTACTTTTTTCTATGAGCAAAAGAAGACGCATGAACGAAGCGTCCCTTCAATAATAGTATCGATCGCAAGGGTTTTTCAAAACATCCTCACTTTTTGGCGATTATTAAGGTGGTTTCTGAATATTCAAGGCTCCCATTTAAACTAAAGGTAGATTATTTCATACTTTATTGAATTCTCGTTTCTACCCTTGTAATTTTTCTTCTACTTTTTTCTATGAACAAAAGAAGATGCACGGACGAAACCGAAAACAGTTCTTTCATTCGAATGTGTACATTTTCAAGCGTAAACACATGAAAGTACAGACTATCAATATGTTATCAGTTCTAAGAAATCGTCCGGACATCATATCAGTGTCAGTATTAAAGGTACATTTTATTTATCTTTGTTTTTCCTTGAATGATGGTCTTTTAGTTATTTCTCTTGTTATATCTCGCTTGGTTTCACTATAAGAACTGTAAGAACACAAAACAATCACTGAGGTTTCGAATTCAATCAAGTTCTTTCTTCCAAACTTGTTTCCCTTTATGACTCATTGTTAGCTCAGCTCAAAAGAGCTATTATAAATTTTTGTATACGACAACAGGCAAAATTAATGTTGAAAAGAGTAAATGGGTAAGTAATACAGTCGATGCTTGCTGGTAAAAGTATTAATGACTTGAAGTTCTCTAAAAGGCTTCATTACAGGGAGAAGAACTTTCATTTATTTTTCTCTTCAAAGTCTAGATCTTCATTCCTTGATTCTTCTGCTTCATTCAATCCTGTCATAAATGGAAAACCTATAGTTAATACGAAAACTCACATAGAGCTGAGCCAACTTGTGATTGTTTCTCAAAACTTCAACAGCTTTAAACTTTAAAAGTTTATTCATTCTAAGCTTAAAGGTGCAAATTAAATTTTAAACAAACTTAACTGAATAAATACTGATTCTACAGCTCGACCAGCGCCTCTAAGCCGGCTAGAGGTAGGAAAAAGCTTCTTTCATTGCACTAAGATTTGTAACTAAGTTTATGACTTTCATGACTTCTTGTGTCTGATGGTATCATCGCGCTCAAAGCCGGCTTTCTTGCCACCAAGAAACGGTCAACAACTGCTATCGCTCGGCCTACATTTCAAAGATTTGCACCTCCTTAACCAGAATAAAGTAATGTTTAAGTAAATCGTTTACGTACCATCGAAGAAAAGTCGCCCAAACTCCAGCACATTGCTCTTTTTTAATTTCTCAGTCATCTTTCTGGAAACTTACTGACGATCTGCATGAAAACAATGAAAAACCTTCGCTTGGACGGTCAAAAACATTTTCCTTGATCCCTGGATTACGTAACATTTCTTTCCATGAGTTACATTTCTAACGTATTCGTAGAATTTCTCCTTCGTTGGCATTCGCAAATATGAGTTTGGATGGTCGAAGATAAAATGGTCTTGGAAGAATTTCACTTAGCCCGAATGCTTCGCGCACTACCCTGCGAGCAGAGGCTACATTTTCGCGGTATGAGCTGGCGTGCGAAAAGTAGCCTCTGCCGACAACCGTTCAATTTTCTATCGTGCATGCGCAAAATTCGTCACGCGATTCGCAAGCAACTGGTTCGTCAAATCTGCGTGAGTTTCGCGGGAAAACTACCTGCGAACTACTCTCCTCGAGCTTCTGTTTTGTTTTTCTGCTTCGCCCCTTCTGGTTTTAACTATTTTAGCCGCAAAATTTCCACGGATCGTCTTTTTTAGGAAAGTATTTTTATGCTATCAACTGTAGTAAGTTCTGTCTGTTTTGCGAGAAGCACATTTTTCCGGCTTTAATATTACCTATTTATAGTTGTGCTCAAAGTGAAAAATGAAATTCGCCGACAACGCTACGCAGAAGTGATGTTTGAAATAAATTGGATGCTGTAGTCTCACGATTGTGTTTTAAACTAATGTTATGAATGAACATAGACAAAACAGTAGTCAAAAAAATTATTTATCGAAAAATTTTATTCGACAACCCATAATTTTATCCTTAAAAGCAATTCGCGTAATACTAACTGGATTGTGGATCATTTCACGCAAGTAAAAGCTGCCGAAGACATCAAATGTCAACGCCAAAATCCGTCTCAAGTCGTATAAAACATCTATGAAACAACTATAAATACTTAAATTTCCATTTAAAAACGGAACTTCCTTGACCATTGATGTGCAAGTTGTACCTGAAAATTCTTTAAAAACTTTGCCGCCTTGGTTTCTTTTCAGAACAGGAGAAGCTTTCCACCGTGAAGAAACCAACCAGGTTGAAGTCCTTGAGGGCGAATCAGTGTTCAGCCAAAAGCTTTTTTTCTACTTTTTCCACCAAAAGAAAACTGATCGATGATTCTTTTGAACATTCCGGTTCCCATTTGTGTCTTAAAACAGTGCATTTAGCCTTGCATTGAGAGGCGACACAACAAAAATCACCGCAGTATCCATTTTCTTTTCCTGGCAAACAAGAACTACCATAATGATAAATTAACGATCTTTACACGGTCCCGTAAGAAGCACCGGCAGCAGCTTGTTTTGGTATTCCGACAGCTTCAAAATACAGACCTTATTCAAGTTGTTGACGACGCTCTTTTAAACACATAAACAGGAATGTTTGAAGTTGTTTTGAACTTTTCCTGTTGCTACGTTCGAGCTACGTTGATCCACGTTCGTATGCGAGAATTTGGCGCGAAGGAATGCATGAAGGCGCAGTAATGGTCAGCGTTCATTCGCTGACGCAAGACTCACGCAATGCTCTAAACCGGTCAAGAACAAGAAAAAACCGGTTTTTTTTAATTTATTCGTCCAGATTTCTGGACGGATTTGAACGGTTGTCGGCAGAGGCTACTTTTCGCACGCCAGCTCATACCGCGAAAATGTAGCCTCTGCTCGCAGGGTATTCGCGCACGGGCTAGACTAGTAAACAAGTGATGTCACGGACATGCGTAGTACGTTATTCAGCCCTGTCGTCAGAGCATCGTATCTCGGCGAGGCTTCCGTGGCACAATGCTGTGTTCAGAAGAGTAGAACGGTCAGGGACTCCAATCCCTGGTACTGATCGCATGAGTTTACCATGCTAGCCATTGGTCAAGGGAATAGAGACCAGACCTGGCAAAGAACTTGCCCTTGAGCCCTCTATTCTTTGAAAATGTTGAAGATTATCACACACGCACAACACACGCGCACGGTGCGCACAAGTGCGCACACAATGCGTTGAAAAATGGCGGGAATATAGTCAAATAAATTGTTTGAATTGACCAATCAACGTGCGATTTGCCGTAAGAGAGCCAATCACATTTAAGGGCGCATTCTGCAGCGTTGTCCCCTGGCGTAAGTGAAATTCGCGTCACTTGCGTAAAAAATTTGAAGAAAATTTTTCTGTTCTTTATGCAGTGTGAAAACTTTCAGTGTTTTGCAGCCTTTTTCCTTGTTTTGCAAAGGGAAGCTATCGAAACTCTTTGAAGAATTAAGATCGAAAAAAGCTGAAAGAAATAGTTGAGGAAAAGGTTGGTCGAGGTAAGCTAATTAAAAGAGGGAACAAATTTCAAAAATCAGCGAGGGAGCTTTCACTTTCTCCTAACTACATTTTTAATACAGAGAGTAAAGCGTTTACGTTATAGGCCTCATGACAAAAGGTTTCAATCTAAAAACTACATTCGTTAACTTATAATAAGCGTTATATATTTTTCAATGACAGGTTTGGCTTGTCCCAGTTCTATCTGTCAGGCAAGTCTTTCCAGGTTTGGCGCTCAAGAGACTCGATCATTCCGAGAGCCTACTAAACGTACATTTGAGGAAGTTTCTAGAAAAGGAAGGAAGGTATGATTTAAAACACAGACTACAAGTTCTTCTGGGAAAAGTAAAAAAAAATAATAACATGCCAAATCGCTATGGTAGTCGAGGTTGAAACACTTTGGCCGCGATTATCATCCAGTAATTTCCCAACCGGCTTTCCCAGCAGGACATCTGGGGTAAAAACTACGCCGCAAAAGATTGGATCAGCGAATAAGAGGAAGATTTTTTATGTTGTAATTGTTTAGAACTAAAATATGAATGAACGAATCATTGTTTTCTTTCATTAGTCCTTCACTAAGTGAAATTTTCGAAAGGCTTTTATTGTTATAAGCTCTCTTTGACCAAATTTGACCTGGTGGAGGCACTGGCAGACCGAAAAACTGCTGAAAACAGATAAATCTTGGATACAACGTTTAGTTGTGTAGTTACTGTTATGATGTGATACAAGTGGAGCACATTATTTTCAAAGGTTAATGGTGAAAGAAAAGCGACACGTCATGAAAACTTTGTTTTATCCATGGCTTTTGTCAACTGTCAGTCGAAACTCTTAGTAATACGCTTCGAGGTAAAGAATAGAAAGTCCTTTAATTTTCGATCAGTGCAACTTCAGAAATGTCTAAGGAAAAATATTAATTTTTTTATTACTTTTTTCCAATCACAGCAGTATAACAGGCTTCAACCGATTTTTTTCTTATTTATTAGCACTAAAATCCAGAAAAGAAGGGAAATTCCCGTCATGCCCTCGCCCCGTTTTCCGCGGGCAAATACAAATCACACTTCATGTAAGGCAATCTAAATTCCCCTGCCTCCATGATGTTTCCAAAGGGTCGACAGCGACGGCAGTGTTATTTTGTGATTTCGTGAATTCTTCAGTGGAAAGGGTGACAACCTATTTCCTCGATGAGAAAGTTACTCAATTAACATTCTTAGCAGTGGGAGAGAGTTTTGTGACGAACCTCTGGCGAACTGGTCCGTTTATGAGAGACAAATCTGTGATCACAAATTTACAGTGGATTAAAAACCCATAATTCCTGTTGCGGAATATGACCACGGAAATGTAAAAAAAATCCAAGAGAAGTGGCCATGACAGCTACCAAGATGTTAACTTTCGGTTTCCAAGTGCCATAAAAGAGCAGTTGACCAGCAGAGTGACTAGGAAACGTCATATATGTTAAAGACACCGAGAGAAAAAATATGCCGTAGCATGGAGAAATCATTTTCCCACAGCTGTGTGCAGCCATAACATACAACATTTTTAGTACTTTTGAAAGCATGTCAGTTTATTAGAGTGAAACCTCTCTTTGCAGAAATTTTGATCTGATGACAAGAACATGAAGAAACTACTGCTGTTTGGGATTAGTCTCTGGTTTGTTTATCTAAGTCATGCAAGAGATGTCAAAATGGGGATTATTCTACCTTTCACTGGAAGTTGGCCAGGTGGATCAAAGATGGCATCAGCTATTCTCATTGCTATGGACAAGGTGAACAATGATCCGTACTGGCTCCAAGGGCACAATCTTTCCTATGTTTTAAAGGATGACAGATGCGCGGCAAAAACGTCTCTTGAAATTTTGGTGGACTACTATACTATAGAAGACCCCCCAGTTGATGTCTACATTGGACCTGGTTGTTCTGTTGGATGTATACCTGGCGCCTATATAGCAGCCCACTGGAGTATTCCAATGATATCTTGGGGTTGCATTGCCTCTGTATTATCAGACAAGACACTGTATCCATACTTTGTACGCACGGCTGGTACTCACAGTGGTATAGGTAATCTCCTTAGAGCCTTACTGAAACAGTACAGTTGGGACAGGATGGGCATCTTGACTTCAACACAAAGTTTTTTTTCAGAGACAGGTACTACAGCAAAGGTCACACTGGAGAGGGATGGAAAGTATTCTGTACCCTTTTTTGGCAGCTTTGATCCTGGTGAGACAGACACTTACAAATTGACTTCTTTGGTGAAATCCATGGCAACCAAAGCACGTGGTAAGTTGACAAACTTGAAAACAAGTCACGTCAGCCCACATATAGGTGTTTCAAGATTTAGTTCAGAAAATTGTTGAAATTGTTTAAGTCAAATGCTACCCACCAGGTAGGTCTCTATCCCGTTTAGAACACCAAAAAACTATTGGTTTCCCTAATGCCTATCTACTGGATAGTAATTTATCTGAAGGATTGGGCTCAACTGGGGCCAATTGGCCCCTAGAAATTCTTTGTCACTACTACAGTTAACTTTCCTTGAAAAGTTCTGAGGACAAGCTGAGAAATATGCCCTGAAGTAAAAAGTCATTCTGTTTTTGTAGTGTTTGTCATAATAAGGTGTGATCTCAACATGTGCTCAAGTATTGTAGATGCATTCTTAGGGGAATATTTAAGAGTTCTTGTTTTGTTGACTTTTACAGTAACAAACTCAGGAATCCATATTCATGTTTTCTCACAGTTGTCAGCCAGGAAAGAAAGCCTTATGGCATACTTGCCTGGTTACAATTATTTGGGTTGCCCGGACAAAAGAGCAGAATTAATTATATAAAAGAATGGTAAAAAAGTTGAGTGCAACTTTTACGTTTCTGATTAGCTTGTTATTTCCATTATAGTTACTAAGAAAGCAGCGTGCAAAGAAAGTAGTGTCCGATAGCCCGGCAGGGCTGAAAATAACAGCCAGTCAACAGAGAATGTCCGGCCTGATCTTGGACTTGACCGGTCAAACCCCGGTCTTGCCGGTCATTTTGACTGGTCATTTTTGGATATAATCATTTTATTTTCAACAGAGTTGTCACTTAATGCTCTATAACGGTGCAATGATTTGTTTTTTCTTTGGCGTTTTTTGCTGCTTTGCACTAAACCCTTCTAGGAAAAAGAACACCGCAATAAATTAATTTCATGTCGTCATGTCGTAATGAAACGCAACAAAGTGAATCACAAACTGAGTTAAAAAGTAACGCAACGTCGCAAGTCGTACTGTACTTTCTGCTTTGCTGTAATTAGTAATGGGAATTCAAAGGAATTCGGGCAAATCGATCGCAATTCTTAACAGGTCCTCCTGTGTTTCTCCGGGAATAAATGTTAGCGCATTGATTAATAATAATGTCTTTTATGTCGAACGTGAATCTCATTTGCAGACTCGATTCCAGAATGGTCCGATAAAAATTTAAGCTAATCAAGAGGGAAGGTCGTCGTCTATCTCGGCGCTAGATTCTCATTCTTGTAAACAACTTTATGCAAATTTCTGTTGACATTTGAGCCTTCGCAATAAAAGGTTGCGCGATGATCCAAATTTATTTATTTATTGACTTCTGATGATAAACACGCTGTTTGTGGAACACACTTCTCGCCAATGGAAATCGACTTCTTTGCCGAAAACATTAGCGACGATTCTTCTTAGAGGAGGTGACTTTCGATCACGTGCCAGGCAAGGAAAAAGATCAAGTTTCACCGATGTTCATTTCGGAACATCAACGTAAACAAACGTGTGCAGATTTTGTAAAATAACCCAATTTTTTTGTTTTTTTCATAATTTCTAAAGTTTGCTGAACTGTATGTGTATTCCATTTCCTGAACGTTGAGAGTTTGAAAAGGATTTACGCTTCACTTTTTACCTCTAGAGACTTCAGACACCGCCGTGCAATGATACTCAAGGTAGAACATAACATTAGAATGCGAAAACCGCGGAAAGGAACTCTACGATGTGCGAATGCATTTTTCACCAACTTGTTGTCAAAAATGTGAACGTCAATGTAGTAATAATGATCTATTGCCAGCATAACTGGATATTCCTTAGGCAAAAAAAAATTATTAGTATTCATTATTTGACCGGCCAGAATCGGGGTTTGTCTGGGCTAAAAAATATTTGGCCGGTCATCATGACTGGCAACCCGCTGTCCGTTATTTTCAGCCCTACCCGGGGCTAGTGGATTTTGCTGTTGGGCTAGTGGATACTGTTTTTAACTTGCCCGATGGGCAAGTGATTGTTTTTTTGAGGAATTCGAATAACAGAAGAACTGTGAAATCAATTCTGCTCATCAAGAAGCTTTTGGGACTAGTTGAAATGTCTTCTGGCTAGTAAATGCTAGTTTCAGCTTGCCTGAATGGCAAGCTGTAAAAATGATATTCTATGCACCCTGAGAAAGGGTTTTAACTAAACCGTTGAGTACAATAGGCTACAGGCCTAGGCTAAACACAGTTTATTTACGTTTTACAAGTAGCTACGGTTGGCCAGTTTGCCATGAAGGCAAGGCGATGCCCTTACGTTTTCCCCCATTTAAGGCAGCGGCTCCTGCATCACCTTTTTTTTTCCATTGACGGTAGCGAAACATCTTCTAAAAAACATCACATCTTGATGCATATAAGGCATCGGCTTCTGCTTCACCTTTTTTTTTGGCCTTCTAAAAAGCACCACATCTTGATAATCTACGAATGGCCTCTTCATGCAGTACTTCATAAAAAACTGAGCCTGCGATCGTTTCGTAGAAAATATCGCACGACCAAAGATGGCGCCCAAAGCTGCTTGGTATTCTCCATTATTCTAAAATTTTTCAGTGGATCAGAGAAGTAATCAGAACACAGGGAAAATGTATAAAATCATATAAGAATTTTTGAAAAGATTTTGTGGTTGAGCAAAACCTCACCTGTCCGAAGGGCAACTTTTTTAAAGTTATCTTAATGGTCTGTATGAGATTGTAGTCATCTGGACGACTGGGAATGTGGATCCCTGACAAACTGACAATATTGCATTAGAATATGACTTTGAAGCTTGTCATGTCCTTTTCTGGTCACTATCTGGCCAAAAGGAATCAAAATTGCCCAAAACACTGTTTATAAGTCATTTCCTGGCCTTCTCTTTTTGTTGCTAAATATCAGCTTCCAACATTTGGGTAAGCTCAGACTGAAAGATTTGCTTCTTCTTGGCTTTTCTTGGCCTGTTTTTGTATTTTCTTTTACTGGTCAGTGACTAGTCCCCATTCGGGTAGGAATAGTTTTTGGAGAAACTTTTAGGATCATTGGATTAGATGGCATGAAGAGCTGGTGGGTATTGGAACAAGATTTTCATTGGAATTTTTGGGTCAATCTGTGATGACATTACAAGCAGTAAAAGGGACATGGATCTGCACAGGCAGTTGGGCGCCAGGGGGGGGGGAGGGGAATAATTCAGCCTATCAGGGCTGTCTTAACTAGTAAAAAAAATACTGTACCTCAATCACAGAAAGTTTAAATAGAAAAGTTGACAGGAATAATAATATTGTTGGCATTTCAAAAACTGTTTGTTGCTGCTCAATCAAGTTAAATTTACAGTCAAAGCAGGTCAAGCATTCCCATCAATGACAAACTAATGAGTTCATTAATGGAAAAATGATTTTGTTTGTTGATTCAATAATCCGTTCATAAAATGAGCAATCCAATACTCATATCCAGCCTCAATTCAATAATGTACACCATTTTGCTGCCAGTAATCAGTGCAACGGACCTGACCTCTTAGAAAACATGATTGTCAAACTGAGGTCAGTGTATGTGCAGTTATTGGTGGATTTTGATCCTCGGCCTTTGCGTTTGCAATCTGTCTATTCTAGCTATTATTTTGATTAAAGGCAATGAAAAATGCAATCATTAATGGTAGGAAAACGGAAGCAAATATGATTGATCACAACAGAAGGTAGATTTTGTTCATAAAACAAATCAACATTTTATTAATGGATTTTTGAATCAACAAACCAAATCATTTTTCCATTCATGAATTAATTAGTCCACTAGCAACAGGAGCACTTGACATGCTTTGACTGTAACAATAAGGATATTTTTATTGTAAGCTGATACAAATTCAAATTCAGAGATATCTATATAACTTATTATAGGCACTGGATTTTGCATAAACTTTGTGAATGAAAAATTTTAGTGTCAATGTTTTAAATCATACATATATCATGGCAATGATTCAAATTTTAAATTTGACCTAATGAAAGTGATTTTTAATATTATTTTTCCTTGCCAAATTTGAGCTTTGTACCTGCAAAGAGCCTCTCGTACCTTATAAACACCTCAATTTTTTATTACAAATATAATGGTAATCATTCACAACCTATCAGTACTCTGTAAGCCCAACTAAGGCAGGTGCATGATATACCAAGTGAATAGCAAGTCTTGTGTGATATCACAAAGAACACAACAATGATCCCTAGCCCTTACACAATAACATAATAAACTTCACTCAACAGAATGGCACAGTCGTGCATACATTACCGGTAACTTGGTTTATCAAGCATCAACCTGAATTAAACTACAGCACTCTCGTTTTTGCCTTACATATACATATAGTTTGTGTTTTGCCTGCTTTCATTATCAGGCTGGTTTACTATGTACACTTAGACTGCGAGCTGTCCCTCTTCAGTCAGTCGAGTCTAAGTTCAGCAGGACTGGAGAGATCGAGTTTTTTACTTTCACTCGCTTCGCTCGATTTCCTCGCTTGCGTGACCATCCTGAGGGACTGCGCGCAGTCTAATGTACACTGTATTAAAACATCTTGTAGATGTGAATTTCCCAGGTGCTCCCAAATTAATTTTGATAGACACCTGTATTTACAATTATTCCATGATAAAGTTACAGTAAATTTTTTTCTTGCTCAATAGTGTTTATGCTTCTATGTTATGGAGATGATCTGAGGAAGCTGATGCTTATTATATATGATCTTGGCCTCTTGAATGGAGAATATGTTTTTTTTACGATGGAAATTCTACTAGCCTCATGTGAAGCCCAAGATGGAAGAGATGTGGAGGCATGCAAGGCCTTTGAAGGAATCCTTGATGTTGGCCAGTACATTCCTGATTCTCAAGATTATGAGGACTTCAAAACAGCTGTTTACAATAGGATGCCTGAGATGAACTATACCATGAGTTTCCCTAATCAAGTAAGTACCCTAAATTTACAAGAGATGAAGAAGTACAAAACCACAATCATGGCATTTTATGAAGCTTTTAATTACTTTGTGAGTGCATCTATTATATCCTAAATGTTGAAATGGATAGGGGTATTAATCACTATTCAGCATGCATGTTTGCCTGAAATGGGTAATAAAGTTAATGTTTATAGCTCTTCAATGAAGGTGAAAATTGGATTTCTGGGGTTTTTCAGTAGACTTTTTTGTAGTTGTCAGTTTATTAGCTGAAATATGGTCAGGTAGTTTGAGACTGTTATTTTTTAAAACAATACCTTGCTCATGAGAAAATCAAGGCAAATATTATGACCCTGCTAGTGCCAGTTCTTAAGCCTTGGACATCCTACTTTAGTTCCTCTGCATGTGCTTTAGTCTAGCTCAGTCATGAATGGATTAACAGGTTCTTGCGAAAACAAAGACCCCAAAGACAAATACCTTACTAGGCATGGCTTAGACTTGAATGCAGACCCCAAAACAAAGGCATTCCTGAAAATTGGGGGGTAAAAACCCAAAAACGCAGACCCTCAAACATTTGGGGTAACACCTGAAAACGCAGACCCTAAAACAAAGATCAATCTTTCCCTTATTTTATTTTTTTGCAACAACTGTAGTTCATCACTGTTAAGGTAAAAATTTTTCATCTTTTTTGAAGATTATGGTAAATATTCAAGAATTTAAGAATTAATTGGGATGACAGAATTTCAGGCTAAATTTGTTCTAAGAACTTCCATCTGAAAAAGTTACTTCAGCTCTCTTTCTTATCTAAAAGTGAAGCAAAAAGTGAAAGAAATTGATTGTTTAACTCATGCTGCTTAATACTCGATACATCAGACGTTTACTTGAAGGCCTGCATCAAAGACTGTTCTTCATAGGGATGGCTCTCCACTATCTGAATGCCTGAAACAGGCTATCTTTACCAGGATTCAATTTTTTGAGCTTTACTTCAATTGCCGCCATACTAACAGGTGCAGTGAAAGCAATGTCTGACATTTCGACTCGCAATATGATCATTGAGCCATTACAGCAACCACAAGCAAGTCACCGATGATTCAATTAATCAATCAATCAATCAAAGACTTTTTTGACTTTTGACTTTTTATTTAGTGAAGTTTGGATTTTTAGATAGCAAAAAATGACAATATCTTGGAAATAACAAAATAATGAACTAATGATTCATCTCCTGTAACGGAATTCAGGAAACCATTTGTCATTGACCTCTTGTATGAACTGTATGAAGACAGATGCCAAATACTCTGTTTGAAGGCTGATTAGCTCTATTCCAGGGTTAAAATTTAACACTTTTTTTTTTTTCTTTTGTTCAAAAGCTTTTTCTTAGACAATTTTCTCTATTCTATCTAGAGCACCCTCTCAACAATTTGTAAGAAAAGAGAATTAAACTGGATTTGCTATTTAAGCTTTCATTTCTGGATTCAAATTTCAGACTAACCCTAGGTTATTGCCAACGAGGCAACCGAGCTAAGAAGCGAGGTTACCTTGGCGGCAGAATTAGGCAAAAACTCTAAAATTCTGCGTAACCTTCTAAAATTTGCATTTTTGACCATATTTGGGTAGTGACGTCATGGTCTTGCATTTACACCTTGTGGACCGAAATTGTGTGATGCCGTGTGCAGCTGTTCATTGTCTGTTCAAGAAGACCTAACAAGTGAGCAAGCGTTAATACGATTTCTAGTTTGAAAGGGCAATTAGTGCTCTGGTTTGCTTTATAAATTGTGTTTGAAGCAGCAGCTGATCAAGGAATAGGGTTTTTTGCTCAAATTTTTGTCAGAACCAGCTTGCTCTTTGAAGCTCGATTTACATTGAGGTAGCGTGTTCACTTCTCAACTCAGAACCAGGGTTTTCGGTGTTCTCTTTTCCTTTTTGAATTGAATTTTAAGCGGTAGTTGATCAAGGCATAGGGTTATATTCTCAAAACTTTGATCAAAACCAGCGTGTTCTTCCCAGGTCCATTTACAATGAGCCAGTCCTCACCTCCCTTGAGGAATGCAACGTATTTGCAGACCTCTTGTTTTGAAGACTATCATTGTGTCTTTCAAGAGACTCTTTGTCCTGTGACACTCACTCATTAGATCTTTGTATTTTATTCAAGTTTATATTTTTACACCTCTGATACATTCCGCCCCATTCTTGTGCTTTTCACTCAGTTTACTTCACACCAATATTTTCTTATGTATATTACCATGCGAAATATTTTTCTTATCCCTGATGATGCTGTTGCTCGGAATTTAATTATTATTTTTAATTTCAGCAGTCAAAGGCCTCATTTGAACTATATTTTTCTCTCTAATGTTTATGATTTTGATACAATGGAATTTTTCAGGAAACTTAAGTGCTAACTTGCTCAGATTTACCAACAAAGCTTCAAGCCATGTTATTATTGTTTAATAAAAGTGAAAGCCTAAATGTGCCAAAGTTGTTGTTTTGAAGTTGGGTGCCATCCTTTTCTATAGCAGAATCCATTTGAAACCTCTAAAATTATGGGGCAAAAAAATCACGAAGATCTGAATAGGCACATTCCATAAAAAATGAACAAATTCGCCTAGTTGGCACTTGTCGAAAGGGCCCTAATGAAGAGCAATACATGCTTTTTATAACAATGTAAGAACACTGACTTTGATGCTCATTGGCTGAAAATTATCAAAAAGCTAAGAACAAACCAAACCTGAACTTCTTTTGTCTAGATAAAATTTTAGATTATGAATGTTAAAATTCTTGAATATTTAAATAATATAATCTTCAAACAAAGATGGAAATTATCACAGTGGTGAACTAGTCTATGGTTGTTGTGAAAAAATAAAATAAGGGGAAAAAAAACTGGAGGTCTTTATTTTCACGTCTGCATTTTCAGACATACACCACTTCCACATTTCCCATAATGCACCTTATTTGCCCCCCAAAATTTTGCATAAGCATTGTTTTCAATTTCTCTTGGGACGGCTGTAACAAAAAAGATTATGCAAAACTTTGGGGGGCAAATAAGGTGCATTATGGGAAGTGTAGAAGTGGTGTATAGAGAAAGGGAATGGATGTGAAGGAATAATTGCATGTGAATCTTCATTTTCAGGTCCGCGTTTTTGGGTGTTTATCCCCATGGTCTTTGTTTTTGGGTCTTGGTTTTCGGAGGGGGGGTTCACCGTTTTTGCAATAACTGACTTGACTGCTTATAAAACAATTTTGAATAGTTTGATCATCTTCCCATTGCATTCTTAAATTCAGTTTTTCTTGACTGTAATATTTATGAGTGTGAAAAGCCCTTGCCTTGCCCTTGTAGTGGCTTGGATGTTTATTCTCTATACTTATATTAAAAGGTTTATTTAAAGAACATTAACTGGTTTGGTGGCCTCTTTTTCCCCAGACAAACATCTATGCAGCTTACTTGCATGATGCCATTCTTTTGTATGCCCATGCCCTCAATGATTCATTGAGTGAGAATGTTAACGTCGGTAATGGAAAAAATATATCAAAGTCAATGATTGGACAGCAGTTTTTTGGTAGGCATTGTCACTGTTGTTCATTTACAATGAGAAAGGAAGTATATTTTATAGAAATTGGACAGCCAACATAAATGTTATTAAAATAATAATAAACCATTTTTATTGCTCTTCCCCAAAATATCAAACAATTGCCTTTCTTGAATAAGCTCCCCCTCCCCCTACACTTTCTTAAAATTAATAGTAGGGATATAAGGAAAACCTGTTTCTATTGCCACTTTATTTAAACTTCTTAAGCTTCAACTTTAACATTCACCCCAATATAAAGTACATCTGTGCATGTAAATTACGCTTAACCCATTCGCTCCTGGAGATTTTGCCGAAAAACGCGTTTTGAAGCTAGTCGAGTGGTTTTCTGGTCACTGTCGTGCTATAAAGAGCTAAAACTTACCACAAACCGGTTTACAGGTGGTACCCTTGGCGGCCTTCTGATCCAGATGCAAAATATCAGCTTGCGAAGTTCGGGCATGCGCAGAAAGCAAAATTTCGACATAGTTTTTGGGTTTAAAAGTGACACAGCAGTCTTGACTTTTACTTTTCGCTTTCTCTCCTCCCTTCTTTTTTCGCTTTTCTTGTCTCCTTTTTTTTTTTCTCTTGCTGGGCATTTAGTAGGCTTCATTTTGGTGGGAAGAGTTTTTAGGAAAGCTTTTAGGATCTTAGGATTAGGTGAAAGGAAAGGTAGGTGGGTAATGGAACAAGATTTTCATGGAGATTTTCAGGTCCTTGTCACGTGGTTTTTTGCTTCTTTCTCCGGTGTCCTTGACTGAATTGTGCTCATTCTGGTATGGTTTGAAAGATCTCTTCACTCTGCACAAGTTAGCGGAGAAAGTTGTCCTTGACCGTTAAAACTGATGACGTCACAAAGGGTAGAAAGGACCTGGATCCACAGGGGCGAATGGGTTAATTACATTCATGTAAGCTTAATGTTTACAAAGTCTTAATGTGGCATTTTTTGTTTTTCAATTATAAAAAGATGTAGCCAAAAGAAAATTATAGTTGGTTGAAAGAAAATCTTAATAAGCCCTCTTGATTAAATGCGCCCCCCCCCCCTTCAAAAAGCACCTGGGCACTTATTCATTTATAAACTGCAATATGACTTTCCCTTTTTTTTAAATAAATTTAAATGAAGCGTATGTTTTGTTCTAGTAATTCATTGCGTAGATTTCCATGGAAGTCCAAGAGCATAAGTTGTGAAAAAAGTCTGTTTGATGTCACCTGTTAATGGTTTTAAATGATGTTGTAACTGTGGCCCAACAACTAATCACAACATCCCATTTTTTTCCTTGTTTACAGGTGTCTCAGGTCCTGTTGGAATCGATGAGAAGGGCGATAGAGTTGCTTCTTACAGAATCCAATCATTTTTGCCAGGGATGAAAACTGTGAGGGTTGCTAACTATTTTGGCACAAATGGAGAGCTGCAGTTATTGAATCGAACCATTATATGGCCTGGAGGAACAACTACGATTCCTATTGGACGGCCAGCATGTGGCTTTGATAATGAGTTTTGTGAGGAAAAAGCAAAAGGTATGGAGTCGATGCAATTACTGGCATAAGCAACCAACAGTTTTTTTTATTTAAAATAGTTTATCATGACTATATTTTTTACAAATTGAATGCAGGCCCATTATGAGTCTATTTTGAATTTGTAATAAGGTAAAATATATAGGGGTTAAATACTAGAAATACGTTTTTGCAAACATCTTGTAAAGCTAAAAAGGATCAACAGTTAGAATAAAAATGGAAACAAGCTAAAGGGTAAAAACACGATGAAAGAAAAAATAAAACAAAAAATAAAACTGCAAGTTGCCCTGCCGGGATTTGAACATGCACCCCAACTTCCTCTATCGTAAAAAGTGCAGCCTCATACCACTGGGCCATGAGAACACTGAACAATCTTCTATTTAAAGTTAATAGTCTTAAAGTATTTTTTTCTTCCATTTACACTGTTTGAACCTTGTGGAGCTGTATTTATCATGAATTCAAAGATACATGTGAGGAAAAATAGCTTAAACAAGTATTTCAAAGCCATTTTGCATTATTTCCGTGTATATTCACTCTCGGGCTTTACAACGGCCGCTAGATGAACTCATTTAGTCTTCTTCGCTGAAGTTCAGGTTGCCATTCTGTTAGTGTTAAATCTCCCACGACAAGGATTTCCAGCCACTTGTCGAATCGGGCACTGTTGTGTTTGCAGCCCTCTGTTATTTGCCTCAGAAATACTTTGCGATTCGCCAGGTGATTCGCCAACGTACAGTAAACAGAGGTTGAATGAAATTAGCCCCATTTGGTGGCCAACCAGTTGTGTTGCCTGGAAACCCAAAATGCACAAATGACCATGATGCCATGCTGAATGATGTCTTTCCGATAGAAAGAAAGATTTATGACCAATGCGAAATCACACTCTGCTTGCAATCCTCTTACGCGACAAAATAAAAATTATAAACACGTTTCACTCACATTCCACAACAATAATGCTTTTCTGTTGTTGTAGAGGAAGATCCAACATGGCCGTACATACTGGCAGGGAGTCTGGTTGTTGTTCTTCTTGTGGCAGTTCTTGTTGGATTTTTGCTATGGCAAAGGTATGAATATTAATTTTTGTAACACTTTCATAATAAAGTTTGAAAAAACAACAACAACCCCAACAACAAAAACTTGAATAGCTGAATTATGGGTGAAAACAATATACATTCAGTAGTTTCCATGAAGTCTGTAAATAGTCTACTGTTTGTATTACATCAAATCAAAACCCACTTCACTGACGTTGAACTTAATTTCTTAGAGTATTGCCACATCCATCTTCTTTTTCAACAGAAAGCAAGCCTTTGAGGCAGCATTACTTGCTCGCACATGGGCTGTAAAATATGAAGATATTAAATGGCCAAAGAATAAAGGGAAATTAGGAAGCAGGAAGAGCATGGTATGGTAGTCATTCTTTCCACAGATTTACAGATTATGTGAATTTACAGGTTGCAATTTGGCCTCCAGAGGAACAGAATTGAATCACTTGCAGAAAAAAGGCATGATCAATGCAAGCAGACTTGTGGTAACAAGTTATCTGCCTCTCCCTAGTCTTCAATTTTATGCTGTTGAGTTATTGATCGCTGATCAAAAATGTCATACAATGTGATAATAAATAATAATTAAAAATGTTTAATCAATAATAATTATTCACCGAAAATATTACAGTCAAACCCTGCTTTACGGACACCCGAGGCTATTAATATGGACACCTCACTATTACGGATAGTTTGCTTTGTCCCGGGGAAAAGAAAGCCTTTCATTTCCTCCAAATTCCACCTGCTATCTGTGGACACCCCATTAATACAGACACTTTCTATGGCCCCCTCAGTGTCCATATTAACCGGGTTTGACTGTACAACTTGCATGTTGTCTAGACTATTCTCACAGTAGAGCTGAAATGCATTGATGACTCTTTTACGATCCATTTTGTGCATTTTTCATGTTCTAAAACATGGCACAATGGCCATGCTTATTCTTTTGGTTTGTAAGAGTTATATAATACAGTCAACTCTCTCTAAGACGGACACCTTTGGGACCGGCACTAAGTGTCCATCTTAGAGAGGTGTCCATCTTATAGAGAGTCAAATAAAAGGAGTAAAGAGAGGCAGGGACCAACTCTTAAGTGTCCGTTTTACAGAGGTGTCCGTCTTATAGTGGTGTCCGTTAAGAGAGAGTTGACTGTATTAAGAATTATACATTTGATTGTGTGTACTCTATGGTAATGGGTCTGTATATGGGACAAAAAATTCAAAAGTTTACATAATTTAGTTTGACTTGCTTTAACTTAAAGGTGAAAAATAAATGGAATTCTCATAAAGAGATGAGAGTTGGGTCTTTTTATTTGTCGATGATTGATGGTGAAATCTCAGCTGATTTTCAACACTAATTGTACATTTGCTGGTCTGAGGAAGCCGTGGAAGTATCAGTCTTATTGCTAAAAGTAAAAACAGTCTTTAAAAGTAGTTTTGTTGATTTTTGTTTATTATTTATATGACTTCAGCTTTGATGCTTTGTCAAATCTCTTTCTATATAGGCTAGTATGGCTGGAAGTGAACGTGGGTCAATGGATGATATTAGAGGGCAAATTTTCACAGTCCTTGGAACTTATGAGGTTGGAATTTAGCGATTGTTGCCATAGCATGTTGGGGCTGTAATGACAATATAGTTCAATATTATTTTACTCCTTTTGACCTTCATTTACAGGAAATATAAAATACATTATATATTGTTATTTACTTTTTGGCATGGTTGTTTAAGATTCTTCGCATTAAGAAAAATAATCGCTTAAGGCAAATTTCTGTTTTGTGACACTTGTTAGGGAATAGAATATCCAAAACCCTGTTTCTTTTATGAGCATTTTCTTGCCAGTACCAGGTTGGATTTATTGGAGGAAGGTTTTAATTGGGGAGCAACATCTTACCATAATAAAATTATAAAACTCTTATTGCAAAAGTGGCACAGATAGTGCAACACAAATGTATTGTTAAGGCTTGTGATTTTGCACAGACAAATTTGCCGTTCAGTCATGGGAGTTGGGGAGCAGGAAGATAAAAAATGAACACAATAACAGCAAGAGTTGTTTAGGTTCACACAAACCAAAATTCTACAATATCGATGAAAAAATGAGCTTTTTGTACAAAACTTATTACCTTTGTTGATAATGCATGATGATGTAGTATATTAACGTTAAAAACATTTAGATGCTACAAATATTTCTTTAGTCTGGCTCATGATGAAAATTTATTTCCTGGTAATGAAGGATAAAAATTGCACAGTTTAGGATAAAGGCACTGGATTACAAAATGTACTTGGTACTTGTGGTGACTGGCAGTGACTTGGCTCTCTCTTTGCATAGCATCAGTTTTTTTTTTATCATAATCATTATTGCATGCATATGCTGAGCATACCTTCTCAATCCATAGCATAACTACATTCACTTTTTAATCCTTAAAAGAAATAACCTCCTTCAATTGTAAGCCCTGTTGAGAGTAAGTGCTAAAGTAGGAGCAGAATATACTCCGCCAGGGTCCTAAACAGGGTCAGGGTTTGCAGCCCTCATCTATTTAACGGACACAGCCCATCCCACATTTCCCTTAAAGCTCCCTTAGGGTCTGATTCTGATTCAGATAATTATGATGTTCCTGTGTAGGTGGAATTAATTTTACCAGGGGAGAAGGGCTTATTTTTTAACTAAAAAAGCCTAATCCTAAAACATTTCCTAACACAAATCATTCTCTCGTGAAGAAATCAATCACTGATCAAGCTTATTATTGTTTTTTGTTGGTTTGATCTTTCAGGGTAATTTGGTTGCAGTTAAAAATATACAAAAGGCGAAAGTTAACCTAGATCGAGATGTCTTGTTGGAGCTGAAAGAGGTAATTAGCTTTTTTATTACAGACTAAAATAATAATTATTACTAGTATGTAATATTAGTCTGTATTAATTTACCTATTTTTGAATGTAGTTAATATTTCCTTTTCATTTGAGAATTCATTAATCAGCAGTTCATGAATGAAGCTGAGTAGGATATGAAGAATTATGGAGATCTCGGAGGGTGTTATCCACCTTGATCTGTATAATTCTTCACATCCTATCACAGGCAGCCCAAGCGCACTATTTGTGGGTTCGGGCTTCAGAGGTCATTTGGTCGGAATATACTAGCATTATTAGTGTATTATCTGATGCCAAATAAATGCAAAAAGTCTGAAAGATATGAAGTCTTCTTGTTTGTCTATCGGTACTAGTAGCCTTTAAGATAACGAAAATCGATATTTTTGCATTTTACATGATTGGGCCCTTATTGATTTATTTTATCACATGCGCTCGAATCTACAACGCTAATGAAAAAAAATCATCATGAATTGATTGAAATATTGATTAAAAAAGCCCCACGGTTGAGTTTTCGCTTAGCCCACTCTTTCCATCGAGTACCGAATACTGAAGAAATCGACTAAACGGCTTAAACCAGCCGAGGACACAGAGTGGCTATGAACTAAAAGGTAAGGGAGCTTTTTGAATCAATATTTCGCGTGATCATGATTTTTTTTTTTCCTTAGCTTGTAGATTCGAATACATGTGATAAAATTCGATCAATAAGGGCCCGAATCACATGTAAAAATGCAAAAAATATCGATTTTCGTTATCTTAAAGGCTACTAGTACCGATAGACAAACAAGAAGACTTCATATCTTTCAGACTTTTTGCATTTATTTGGCATCAGATAATACACTAATAATGCTAGTATATTCCGACCAAATGACCTCTGAAGCCCGAACCCACAAATAGTGCGCTTGGGCTGCCTGTGATCCTATGAAAGCCGAATTCATCAATTGCTTTATTATTCATTCAAAATAATTTGTGGTTTAAAAACAAGCTAAAACATGCACACCTTTGTCCAAGTCAAGTTCACCTCAATAGAGCACATTTATAAGATAAAGGGCTGTTCAGGCCTGCAAATATACTCCAAATAGCAGATGTTGTCCATCGAGTTGTCTTTTTGCTATGTTTTTAGACAAGAGTTCGTTGTGAAACAAGTAAAATGTTCTGCCGATTGTGTGTTCGGCCATTTTTCTTTTCACAACCAAAACAACTCAACCTCGTTCCCAGGTCTTCTTGGTTAACGGTGCATTAACGTGCAACTGTGCTGCACTTTTGACGTCATCAGTTGATTAATTGCAAAATTCACTGCCCAGGGACACGATCATCTGGACTGAGAAAGGGGTTTCACAGCTAGCATGATCTCACCAGTTTTTTTAAGACCTTGGTTGATGGTCTGGCCAGGGTTTGAACTCACGACCTCCCACTCAGCAGACTGGCGCTCTTCCAACTGAGCTAACTAGGTGGTGGTTGTATGATGGAAATCCAGGGGAAATCGATTTTGGTTTGAGTTGGCGTGGTTCCAGTTAGTGAGGGTGCGAGTTATCGGGAGTCAATTGTATATTGATACCAAGGAATAAACAAATATTCATGCTTATAATTATAATGATAATTATATCACTGTCAGCTAATCTCTCAGTATTGATATAGCTACCTTTTGACTGCATATGTAACATTATTTGCTTCATTGTCTGCTTCCAGATGAAAGACCTGACACACCCAAACATTAACACATTTGTTGGTGCTTGTGTTGATCCTGGCAACATCTGTATCTTGACCCAGTACTGTCACAAAGGAAGTCTTCAGGTATTGTATAAAAACATTTGTATTTTTCCCACATTTTTTCACATTTTACTCTTAATTACACCTCATCACTTCAAAATGTATCCTGTGTAAGTATTTTTTTTTGCGACTATTAAACTTGACCATGTAGCTTTATTCTTCACTAATTTAACTCCACATCCAAACTCTGGAATCTTCAGTTGATATTGTAGAATGATTAGTTGGCGAAATATACCTGTCAGTTGTGTTCAAGTAACTTAACACTAACGTGAAAATTTATACGTTCTATTCCCAGGATGTATTGCATAATGACAACCTCAAACTGGACTGGATGTTTAAAATGTCTATCGCATCTGATGTTGCCCGAGTATGTACCATGTTAATGATAGAAAAAGTATTCTGTCAGTTTTTGCCATGTGATTAACAAGAAAAAAGAAAATCACAATCATGAGATGATTCTTTTGCCTTCCTTTCAGTATACCATACAGCAAAATTTCAATAAAAATCCCCTCTGTTTATAACCCCCTCACCATAAATTCCCTTAGCTTGGCATATGTAAAGAATAATAGTGTGTTACAGTAGAATTGCACTTTTACATGTTACAACGTAAACTACAAGATAAAAAGTTAAAACGCTTTGACTGTCCACTCCTGCAAAATGTATAAACAGTAGTGGTTTTACTTTTATGGCATTATGTACGATTTTTTTCATTTTTTGCAGCAAGTGTTGAATTTGGTATGTTCAGAGTGTTATGTTGTCACAAATTTCTAGTCAATGCCCCATTATTATTATTAATTTGAAAGTTAAAATTGCCCTCCAGTTATAAGGCTATGGGATTATTACGTATATAGGCCCCTCAAAAGGCAGGGAAAAGATTAATGTTATCCTTAAGCAATTTTACTCTATTCGACAAAATTACAACTGAAGAGTCAGATGGCCAATATTCTAAAAACATCAGAAGTGTTAAGTCATCAACTTGAACTTCAACTGAACTTCAGAGATCCTTGAAGACTCTAAACCCTTTGCTTCAGCTTTGGAAATCTTCAGAATACTTCAGTTCATCCCTTGCTATGTCGTAAGTCTTTGGAATAATTTGAACATCTGTCAGCAGTTATTAAGGACTGATACCTGACTGATTACTGTTGGTATGCTTGGGATTTATTGTAGCATTCTCTCCTTATTACAAATAATCACGAAACACTTTACATGTACTATGCCACCACCTGGCATGGTTAGCTCAGTTAAAAAAGTGCCGGTCTGCCGAGTTGGAGGAGACAGGTTCATGCCCCAACCAGACTTCCGACCAGGGTCTTTAGAAAACCAGTGATTTTGTTACAGATGGTTATGGTGAGTCCTATGACTCATCTTGTGAAAAATCATGTGTCCCAGTCCAGAACCATTGAGTCCCAGTTCAAAAAACAATGTGTCCCAGGGTCTTTTGTAACCACACAGTTAATCTGAGGACAGACTCCAAAACTCTGCATTACAGTTTACTGAAATAAAAATATACTCCTTCAGGGCTCAAAGTTAGCGACTAACTGGTCGCATATGCGACTGGATTTTTGGTTGTGCGCCTAAAAATTCATGTGTAATCGCACCTGTGCACCGTAAAACCCAAAGCACAGTGCGACTGACTTACTTCCGACTATACGTACGAACTCGAACTAGAAAGACGGTATATGTTTAATTGGTCTTTTCTCCCAGTGGATTCTACGTACTTGAATGTTCTTTTTCGTTTCGATGTTTTACTCCATCCCAGACTCTTCTGTTTTGTAATAAACACCGCTGACACATGCAAATACAGTCGACTCCCGATAACTCGAACCTTCCCTAACTCGAACCTCGCGCTTACTCGAACCAAAATTGATTTCCCCTGGATTTCCGCCATACATTCACTGTAATTTTACCTTCGGTGACTCGAACCTTCGGTGACTTGAACCCTCGATAACTCGAACTCCCGCTAACTTGAATCAATTTTTGTTTCCCCTCAGGTCATTTTCTATATAATTTTACCCTCGATAACTCGAACCATGCTTTGAGCCCTTAAAAAGTCGGGGGAAAAAAAAAAGCCGTCTACTGGCGTCCGAGACATTGAATTTTGGACTTCCTATTGACGTGTTGTAGGAGTATAGTTTACAAGTGGAGGCTGATATTGACTGTCGCAGGCTAAAGTGAAACAGCTTTGCTTCTCAAAACAGTAACACGTATGCTCTATTTAGGCTGTGGTTTGTTACGTTACGTTCTGATATATAATCTAGAAGTATCTTTTACTTTTCACTTGACATTTCTACCATTAAATGTGATTAAAATGTTCACTGTGCAATAAAAACTGTTTTTTACCTTACTCTCGGCTATTTTCTTCGAGCTCCCGATAACTCGAACTTTTTGCGATTTCCCTTGAAGGTTCGAGTTATCGGGAGTCGACATGTATATGCTACAAACGAAACACATACTTTTTGCGCAATGGACGATCATGTCGAATGTTCAGTTTTAACGTCAATCAAAACAAAAACAGTGCGGATTAAGAACCTTTTTTTCCAGGTAAGAAAGTTTTTTAAGTCGTATTCCAGTCACATGTAAGTCATTGCACATTTAACAAATTCATTATAGATTAATTTTCATTCTCGTTCGACACACTCATTGTTGTCAGTTTTGAAATGTTTTTCAAGTGTAAGTTCTCTTTAGTCACAACTGTACTGTCAAAAAGAGAAATTAGTATTAAAAATCACAACTGTATTACTGTGTAGCAAATCGGCTGTGTTTTATCAATCACAGGACTGAAGTAAAAGTAACAAACTGAAGATGACAAATAAACGTGGCACTGTTAAGCTTTTTACTTTTTCTTTTGAAATAGATGCTCCCAACATTATAAGCCTAAAAATTTACATCTGATAGCACAAGTGCTCCCAAACTGAAATTTAAACTTTGAGCCCTGTCCTTCTATTGTAAACAGGGTTCGCACAGTCTTGAAAAGTCCTTGAATTTTAGGGGAAGTCCTTGAAAAGTCCTTGAATTCCATTTTTCCTTGAAAAGTCCTTAAATTTCTGTTCAAGTCCTTGAAAAGAGCTTGAATTTTCTTCAACTTTGAATGTAGTAGCCTGGAAAGAATTTTTTGATGCTTTTTGGTTGTCCAAGACAGAATATAAATCGTAGCTCAGTGAATGTAAAGGTCACTTACATAAAGTGCTCCATGTTTTATGCTATAATTAACTATCAGTTTAAGACAAGTGAACTGAAAAATGTAGAGAATTTGGTGAAGCAAACAGTTAAAACCTTAAAGTCTTATTAGAATATACTGGGAATATGCATTTTTGTACAATCTGTGAAATTATATTCCTAGTAGGTTGTCCTTGAAAATCTAATGTGGTCCTTGAAAAGTCCTTGAAAAGTCCTTGAAAAATGGTTGCAATTTTTTGTATGAACCCTGTGTAAAGCACAACAAAGACTAAAAGAAATAAGTATCTTTAAACAACAGCCACAAGAACAGCCACAGAAATCACACAAACAGGATATTCTAGAAAAACATCTTCAGATCGATCAATTGATCTTGGCGTCCTATGGAACGCATACCACAAATTATTTTGTGTCAAGAAGATGCAACAGTGTATTGTTTCTTTTTTAGGGAATGAACTTTTTACAGAACAGTTCACTCCAGATTCATGGCAACTTGAAGTCTTCCAATGTGGTCATTGATAGTCGCTGGACATGCAAAGTGACCGATCATGGTTTGTTTCTATTCAAGGAAGGACAAGAAACAGACGTGGAGGCTGGAGCAGATGCTAAATACTATGGTAAAGTTACACTGGTCATTGAAATTCTTTTCTGAGTATTCTTTTTTTAATTATTGCCATGTTGGAAGATTTTACACAGTCAAACAGATACAAGTAAAAATATATCACATGATTGGTGGCAACAACCAAATGAATAAAACTTCCGTAACAACTGTTACATTATTATTGCACATTATTAAGTTCCAGGTGATAAAACCATAACTTCCCACTTTTTGTTAACACATAACACGGGAAAAATATACTATTACAAATATGACAGATGGGGCTTCATTTGATGTGCAAACCTTGAGTCTGGTATTGTAGAAGAGCTTCTGCACTCACAGTAGAACACCGTGGGTAAAAAAAAATTGGTATCCATGGATCTGAGAAATTTTTGGTGGTCAGGTGACCTTACATGTCCCATCGGCACCACAGAGTAACCAATGTGAAATGACCTTTTTGACTCTCTGTGGAACCTGCAACTTGTGTTTAACTTGATGATAGATGTCCATGTTATGGTCATCTTGGCCACCCAGACTTTTAGAGAGAAAAAAAAAACAACTTTTTTTTTTTACGAAACTTTAATGTCTATGCTGATGTTGATAACAGAGAAAGAGCTAGAGTGACAAATAAACAAGTTTTGCTAGAAACACAGCATGAAAATTTTAAAGAGGTGGTGCAAAATGTTAGTGGCCAGTAAGGTGAAGATGAGCAGAAGTGTAAAAGAAAACGAACAGGAACACATGCAACAAAATTTTTTGGAGAACATACGACATCATTTTCCTCCATCAAATGTGTAACTATGTAGAAATTTCAACAATACAACATACAAAACAAGGACAAAGAAAAGTACAAATAAGTGTGTAGTCTGCTACACAGCCGTTTTTAGAGTCGTCACGCAATGCTCCTCCCCACTAACGGCTGCTGAAAACCGAACTACATTCCTTTCCCGTGATTAGCCAATTATAATTCAGCTCCCATTATCTGGAAGGTGTTCGCGCCACGTTTGCGGTACTGTGACTCCTCCAATCACAGCTTTGCTTTTATCAGTGCCCCATGTGTGAATGACAGAATAATCAAAATCGTCGCGTGAAAACAAGCAATTAACTACAGTAGTGTTGTCGTAGTCGAGTTGTATTCAAAATTTAGGAGATAAGCAGCAGCAAGAAAGTCGAGCAAATTGCGATGCACAACATGGATGTGCTCACAAAGTTGCCAGGTATAGTTTCGGGAAATCGCTCACCTATAATTTAGAAGATTGCTTTTTGAATCAGTACCTTTGAGAGTTTAGTCTTCATAGGAACACACTGAGCACATCCGGTACATTAAATTCTTCATTACATATCGGTACATATGCACGTTAAATGAAGAACCAACCGATCCTGGTAAAAGTCTTCTAGGCCTATCAAAGCTTTTTTTCCTGGGAACTTTCTTGACCGCTTAAAACAAACTTTTTGCAAATTAACCTTTTCGTTGTTTGAAAACACAGAGCCCGTCTAAATTCAGCAACGATTGATTGATTTGTCGATAACTGAGAAGCGTGCTCGCTTCCTAGCGCCCTGCGGCTCACATACTTTCAAATTTCTTATACATGATTGGCTTGTTCATTAGACCACAAACACAAAGGGAAAGGAATGTAGTTCAGTTTTCAGCAGCCGTTGGTGGGGAGGAGCATTGCGTGACGACACTAAAAATGGCTGTGTAGCAGACTAATAAGGGTGCTGCATGTGCAGTTGTTTCTTTTTTTTTGCCAATTAGACCTATTATTTTTTTGTTTTGTTTTGCCATTCTCGTTACCTTCACCGTTTAGCATTACACAATTTTATTGTTGTGTGAGTAGACTATAATTAGTATAGTAACGAGAGCTTCACTTTTAGCCCAGCTAAATCTATATTTTAGGCTTTTTAATGGACAACCTCAAAGTTATTGGATGCATTGGGGTTGTACTTTGCCACGCACAAGTCACCTTAAGTATTAATCATGATAACCCCCTTTTTTTGTCAGATGCCCTTTGGACTGCACCAGAACACATCTTTAATGAGAATTTTCCCCGCTCTCAACAAGGAGATCTTTTTAGCTATGGAATCGTTCTCTCTGAGATTTTGACGCGTGGTTTGCCTTACAGCATGTTCAAGGATTTATCAGCTAAAAGTAAGTGTTGTGAGTGCAGTTATTTTGCTAAAGCTTCAGAACCATCTCCGAAACCCTAGAAGAGCCCAACATCTAATTTATATTGTGCATGCTGATAATAATTTTATGATGGTGTGGGCTGTACAGTTGGGGTGTATCTGCTTCCAATTTTTTTAAAGTTTGTGAAAAGTTGGACCTTGACCCATCCACACTTCATTTTTGCCCATAAACCTGAAAGCTAGTTTAAGAGGCTTGACATGTGTAGGAAGAAGAGAGAAATTCTGAACCCTGTGTGATTGGTGCAATTCAGTTAAACAGGCCAGAGATTTGTACACAAAATCATGCTTGTTAGATTAGAAAAGTCAAATGAATATGACTTGTATCCACTAATATATACCCACCTGTATTTTGCTTTCCAGATGTAATTCCTCTGAAATATTTTCAGAGTCCTTGGCTTGCTTACTAAAACTTCTCCTTCAGGCAATGTAAAGCCCAGTTAAAGCATGCAGCTAAAGGCTTCTTTTAAGGAATCCACTGTTTCAGTCATTAAAAATGTATCAGTTGTGACTGATAATGTACTTGTCTGTATAACAGCAGTCTTAATCTTTCAACAGTGGTTGTTGAAAATGTTCAGAAAGGAGGAACTCCCTATTTCCGCCCTCGGGTGACAAAGGATCTGGCAGAACATCCCCTCTTCCTACAGATGATGAAGCAGTGCTGGGATCAGGATGCTGCTTCAAGGCCCAAGTTTTCTGAATGCCTCAAACTCCTCAAGCAAATGAATAAAGGAAAGTGAGTAAAACATGCATGCAGGATCTCTAGTTATCTTTTTATTCAAGCGTACATTCAAGAGTCTATACTGTAAGCATCCTAGTTTCAACAAATTAATGACAATGAAAGAAGATCTTAAGAATTATTCAAAGGGATTTATGATTGTTTTTAATTCTTTTTTGTATCTTTTGTGATCAGAAATAAATGTAACAGAAACGAAGCTGACTATAACTATTATAGCTTTTACTTTATGTCTGCCAACTCTCTGCATAATCTATGATAACAACTTTTAGTAAAATCCAACTAGTGGTCTATTATCAGTGCTGCATTCTGATTGGTTGAGCTTCTACTAGCCTATATGTTATAGCCCACTAGCAGCGAAAAGCACGGGCTTTTTGGCAGCAAAAAAGGATTAAAGTCTAGCTTTAACTAGCTAAAAGTTTTTTTTATTCTCTATATGTTTGACCAACTAGTTGGATTTCACTAAAACAATTATTCCTCTCGCCCTCATGGCCTCTGAGTCAATAGCCTATTCAGCCTTCGGCCTCATGGGCTATTGACTCAGAGTCCATTCGGGCTCAAGGAATAATTGTTTAGTATGACATAACTATGTTACATGTAGGTATTAATTACCATCTTACCAAGACACTTCTTTTTCACTTCAAGATAAACTTCTATCGATCAGGTGTTATTTTAATTACTCTTTCCAAATAATATTTAATTTGTTTATTTTCCAAATAATATTGTACAGGGAGATAAACATTATGGATACCATGATCACGATGATGGAAAAGTATACAGATCACTTGGAGGACATTGTTGCTGAACGAACTGCTGAGCTGGCAGCTGAAAAGGCAAAGACTGATGAGCTACTGTACAGGATGTTACCAAAGTATGTTTTCCTTTTCCCAGGAGAAAAATAGCATTAAATAAAAAAGAAAACTAAATTCAAATTTTTTTAAGATTGATTATGACTGACAAGTGCTTTTTGTTTTTTTTCCTACTATGACAATTGTATATAGTTTCATTTCTTTGGTCTTGTGTTACTTACTTAGAAACGTTTTAGATAAAAGATCAAAATATGGTGCATTAACAAAAGACTTCCTTCTGACCATGTATTATTATTTACTCACACAAGGACTCCATGGAATAGACTTAGAGAAAGTGTATGCATTAATCACTAAAGTAGATGCTTAAATATTTGTCAAAGCTTTCAAATATACTGCATTTTGCATATTTTTTATAGAAATATTAATGTGTTTGTTATTCTAGGACTGTGGCAGAAGAACTTAAACAAGGACACCCAGTCACAGCTGAAAATTTTGACAGTGCCACAATCTTCTTTAGTGACATTGTGGGCTTTACTAAGATTGCATCTGATAGTACTCCATTGCAGGTAATAATAATGATTTGACTTAGATATAGGAAACGATATTGTTGTTTCCTGGTTATCAGTTTCTTGAAATGAAGAATGTGATGTTGAAACCAATAATGAACCTGATATAGAGATAATTAGGTTAAACATTTCTTCTTAGAAATACTTGATTAGATTTTGCTGTAGTAAAGTTCATATTATTTTATTGAAAAGCTGGTCATAACAGATCACATAACCTTTGTTTTCCTTGATGGTTATTATTTCTAGGTTGTTGACTTATTAAATGACCTATACACCTGCTTTGATGAAATCATTGATATGCATGATGTTTACAAGGTAATAAAGTAACTTTCTTTTTAGAGTCACTAAATTACAGTGGCATACCAGGGTCATTGGTTCCTAAAAAAAGTCAAGTAAGACCTAGGATTTAGGGGGGGAGGGGGCTTTTTTTGATATCTTATTAAATTAAAAGTTGGGGATTATTTAGAACTTCAATGTTTTGAATAAATTTCACATAGTTAAGGGTCAATTATTATATAAATTTCTTTGGCTCTTAACTTTAAAAAGTAGACCCACATATGCATAATATGAAGTTTGAAATGCATGTTTTCTAAACATGTGCAGCTGTTACCTGAAACTAAAACAAAGACAATAATTTATTTTGCCCATCCAAAGGATGCAGAAAAAACATTCATGCAAAAAAGGATACCAGTAATTTTATTTTTGCTTGTGCTCAAAATTTCATAATGTTTTGTTAATTCCTCGGACAAGAACAACGTGAAGCTAGGCCTGAAATATTAGTAACATATGTTCATGTCATGTCCTTAAGATTGACTTGAAGCCTTGTGATAATCTTTGAGCTGATCATCTCCTCACTCTTTTTGCTGAGCACTTACTAATACTCAAGTGCTTTAATGGTTATAGTCAAGCTGATCTATTTTCATGCTTTTTTCTTTGCTATTAATTTTTTGTCTGAGGAGAAGTAAGAATTAATAATTTTTTTAGGCACACCAATAAAGTACATGTTTGGAAATAACTATTTATAGGGCAAGCAAGCAAATGTTGGTGAGTTAGACATTATTGGTCATTTCCCACTGTTTGAATTAAAGGTTGAAACAATTGGTGATTGCTACATGGTGGCCTCAGGATTGCCATTAAGGAATGGAAACAGACATGCAGGTGAAATTGCAAACATGTCCCTTGACTTGCTATCAGCGATGACCACTTTTAATATTAGGCATCTTCCAGGCACACAGCTACAACTTAGAGTTGGGATTCACACAGGTATGTTTATCAGCCTTATAATCTGAACAGTATCACGTTCTTCAAGTTTGAGTTATGTTGCTATCAGAGCTGTTTTCTCTGACTGGACATTTTCAGTTCTCACACATTTCTGAAAGTAATGTTCTTTAAGTACATTCCTTCAGCTGTGGCAATAAAAGCTGTTTTACCTCAGTTGTAATATTGTGCAAATCAACCCTGTTTTGTTTGTCTTTCTTTTATTTTAGGTTTTGTGGTTGCTGGTGTAGTTGGCCTCAAAATGCCAAGGTATTGTCTTTTTGGTGATACAGTTAACTATGCCTCTCGAATGGAGTCTTCAGGGTTTGGTAAGTTATTATATTGTCTGTTAATTTTTGCTTATAGAAATAGAATTAAAAGCATTTGGTAACATATCGGCATCTTGAGACCTGTGGTTTGGTTAAACAACAATGGTTGATAATCAATTTGAAGAAACGACAGCCAAACTTTACAGTTCTCTCAAGCAGTCATCAATTTCACTCATCTCAGAGTGTGTGAATTGTCAATGATTTACACTTGCACCAAGCTTGTTTTGTGTTCTTCTTTCTATTAGTGTGTGTTTGTTTGTGTAAGTTATATATGTAACTTATTTGATAAAATTAATTTCCTTTTGTTAGTGAATAATATTATGCCATGCAGGGTGGCACTAAAGTTTCCAGGGAAAAGACCCATATCCCACCCCATCAATTCTTTCCGCCTGAGTTATTGAGAATGTATCATAGACCTCAACAAATTACACCTGGCCCCAAATGTGCAAAGGCTGGAATGTATTATTTACTGCTTGGGATAGAAATTTAGCCTGTGGATTTTGAACAACTTGGGCCTTAAAAAAAGGAAAAATTGATAGAATGAAATTAATGGAGACATAATAACAAATTATATTATTTTATGATTTCATATGCTTTTTCAAACAACAATATCAATACATAATTTTTATTGACAAGTGTCTTTATATGTGACCTTTTGCATCCATTACAAATATTTTCAAAATTAAAATTCATTGTAATGCAAAGAATGATAACCTACAATAATTCTCTTATTTAGCACTTTGCATTCATGTGAGCCCTGAATGCAGAGAAGTTCTTGAACAACTTGGTGGTTATCATTTGGAGGAACGGGGTGAAGTGGAAATGAAGGTACTAGTAAAGGCTACAATCACAAAGCAATAGATTTTATTTCTTCAGTTACAGATCTTTGATAACATCAGAATACTAGTAGTAGTAACTACTACCACTACCACTACCACTACTACTACTACTACTAGATTATTATTATGGTAATTATTGCATGATTACGTATTAGTGTTGACCACATATACTTTAGGAGGTCTCAGTTTTCAATGAACAGCTGTACAATGCAAAATGGAATTAACATGACCAGGATCATTACAGTGCTTTTTTGTTGTTTTTGTTTGTTTGTTGTAAGTTTTCCTCATCAAAGGTACCGGTTCCTAAACAATTGTGTCAGTGATTACTTGCCAAAATAATCTAGCATGTCATTCTTATTTTCAAAGCTTCTGAAGACAAGACTGACAAACCTTCTACTTTATCCTCAGGGAAAAGGGAAGATATTCACCTACTGGCTAAGGGGGCGAGATGGATTTGACAAACCCCTTCCTGACCTTAACTTACAAGCTGGGATGGATGAGCATGCATTCAAGTAGCTGTTACAGATTTGTTATCTTAGCAAAAAGTTTTACTATTTGTTCCTAAAGAAAGCCTTTGAAGGACTTGGTTTTGTTCATTTGAAAATCTTGTATGGTGGAAACTCTCCTCACAGACACCCTCATAAGCGGACAGCTCTACTTATATGGACACCTTCATGAAACCCCATTTTTCCTTACCCCCATACTAACTCTGTCTTTACACTCCTATAAGCAGCCAGGTCTAGTTACGGACACACGTTTTTTGTATCCCGAGGGTGTCGACTCGTGAGAGCTTCTACTGTATTTCATAAAGGGAAAGATTTATTTTCGATCATCTAACCTGTTTTTGTTCCTGTCATTAGTGCCATTTTTTACTGCCCACTTGCTGAAACAACTACTGCTAATGAAAACTGCATTACTGTATGACATGACTGGTACTTTTGTTAAGAGAAGTATGCATTAAGTTTTAGTTCAACAAAAACATGCTCTTCTCTTCTAGTGATCATTTTCTGCATCAAGGCTCATTTTTGTCCTCTCCATTAGTCAAAATGCATCTTAAAGGGAAATTGCTTGTGGATATCTTGGATATTATTGTCATAAAAATCAAGTATAATTTAATAACATCATGTGGCAACCGTAGTTTTCATATATATGTATGACTGCCAGACAGCACTAAAACTTGAGGATATTTAATAATGTAAGAATCATATTTAACTACCAGGTGAAACAAAAGAACTTGTCCCCCTAGTCAACCTCTCAATGGCTCAAAGTAAACTAAATACAACACTAGCACATTATAACCAGAGTTGCACCTTGCATGACTTGCAGCTTATAGTCACAGTCCATCTTATCATTCAACAGCTAGTTTATCATGCTAATCAAAGATTTTTTTCTCTTCAAAAAGTTTAACAGACAAAATTATTATTGTACAGAGACACATAAGGTTTGGTTTCTTTGCTGCCATATCAGGGCTGTCAGGCTTTATGCCCAAATCTTGGCCTCCTTGTTACGTTTGACTCATTTTCAAACTTAGAATAGCCGGCTTATTTTACTGCCATAGCCGGCTAGTAAAGCTTGCTATCAGATGCTGACAGCCCTGCTTTGCAAAACATAAACAGAATTGTGACTTTATTCAGTTATTTACCTTTATTGGCTATGGAATTATTCTTCTATTAAGGTACAATTAAAAATGTTTTTGGATTGGGTTGGTTAGGCCTAGTTTATCACATTACTATTCGAAAATAAATGCTGAAGGAACTTGCTTGGATGCAGTATAGTAGTGATCATTAGACTCTTATTTCTTATTTTAATGGAACTGAGCATGGGTAGGGTAACTGCATCTGAATAATTTATTTTTAAATGTATATTTGTAGCACAAAAGACGACAATTAAGCCTACCATATTTTCTCAAAAGATCTCCACCCCTTTAATAAACAACACACTTCTGAGCAAAAATATCATTTAAGTGCCTTTCCCTCCCTACACTATTGTTGGCACTGTTGCTGGTGAGATTACCAATCAAAAGAGAAAAAAAGGCCTTGGAAACTAACTTTTGTCCTTTTCTTACACTGTTCTTATTCTATTTTTTTAAAAACAAAGAAGAAAGATTACATAATTTACAAATAAGATAATTTTTTTAAAGTGGTCCCCCAAAGAGGTGATACATTGAATGTGAAAATTACTATGGGCTGTGGTGCTTTTTTGAGGAACATGGTGAGCTATTCAACAACTGTCTGCATTAGAACAGAAAACTACAGTATTTTAACTTGCATATCTCACCCATTTTACAAGTGCCCATTTTAATCCTAAATATTACACTGCATCTACATTGCAGACTGTGTCTTATGGTTCCAGGCAAAAAAGTTTGCATTTCAACATGCAGTCCCCAAAAAGAAGAAAGGTTTTTGTACATAGTTCCTTCACAATACAGTACAGTTGAACACTGCAAAGCCGAAAAATCCATTTTTTAGAATTTACACAAAAGTTTTCTACATTTTAAAACATAGAGTTAAAATAAAGCATCATATTAAGACATAAATATTTATTATTTGAAGATGCTACCTTATCCTTGGTTAAAGTTTTGAAGACTATTAAAAAACCCTTACTGAAATATTGTGTGTGGTTGCTGTTTTCATATGAAATCAACCTACGGTGTATGCAACAAATTCTGTGAACTGCAACTGTCTGTCCTGCTCTGTGGCAATATAAATATGACTGTCGCAGTTGCGAAAACAATCTGTAAATTAGCCTGGAAAAAAGTCTCAGAGCTTCAATGGGATTCAAACCAATGGCCTCTGTGTTAGCCCTGCAGTGCTCTATCAACTGAGCTACGAAGATATACACTGAGAGCTGAGGCCAACTTGTTCAAATTTCATTTAGTCAAACCCACAGTCAAACATCTCTGAACACTGCCTTTAGGACAGGCCTCAGTGGGTACAGCAAGGAGGTGACCATTGTAGAGGTTATAACAAGTTAGAGTACACAAACATCCATTTCCCTATCCAGATTTTCCAGGCACTGTTTGTTTGGATCATTTCATTTCACTAATTTCGCTTGATATCTTGATGTGACTGTGTTAGGGACAAATCATACATGTATTTCTACTACAAGTACTTACAGCTGTAATTGGTGTTTCAATGAGCTTATATATATAAAAAAACAGGAAATTTATTTTGAAAATAAAAAAATTTTTATTCATCAGCAGATTCATCCATATTTGTACCAAATTCAACAGCTCCCATAAATCTCTCTTGCTGAAGCATAGCTTTTGACTGGTCATCATACTTTGGTCCCAGTGTCCAAAGTTTTTCTAGTTCATAAACAGCTCTCATTTCAGGGAGAAAGAAGTGCACAACAATGTTACCTGCAAAACAAGAGAATATTGAAGTTATGGCTCTCAAATGGAAACTAAAATGGGTTCAAATAATTTCAAGACTTTAAACGCTATGTTTGTTGTATACCCATGCTCCATGACACTTGTTTTCAAAATAGTGTCTCACAGTAATTTATACTGGTAGATAGAACGTGTACAGAACACAAAATCGGGTATTAAATTGGATGAGTACTCAGGCCCCAAGTTTAAACATAACCTTCAAGCTCTTCAGACTGGAGTTCATTCATTTCAAGCTTTTTGGATTTTGAATGCTGTTGTTTTTAAAAATTCTTACCAATATCTAAAGCTGCCCAGTGATCATTCTCTAAACCCTCTACAACCACATGGCCATCTCTTCCAATGCCACGCACCTCATGCCCTCTGAACTATAGAGAAAATAGCCATGAGGGTTAGATCATAAGTAGCTATATTAAATCAGACTCAACTCACTTGGATGATGACAAATGCCTTAACGGAAACATTATACATGTTATAAAACTAAAAGAAAGTTATTTTGTAAGGAAAAAACATTCCCACGTCTGTATGTGCTGATTAGTGGGTGAAAGTTCTGGGGGAATAACTGGATCCTTTTTTTGCAGTAAAGGCACAATAGTATTTTGTAAGCTTGAGTTACTTAGACAAGAAAACCTTGCTTAAAATTCGGCTTAATCATAGGTTAACCTTAACAATCTTTTGAGGAACCGGGCCCAGGGCTGTAAAAAACCTGAAGTCCAGCTTGCACTCGTGACTAGCAGTGGCAATAACATATTGCTTGCCTGGGGTAGTCTCATGCTTGTCTCACTTTATGATTTAGTGCAAGCATGACATGCCTAGACCTTTGCCCTTCGGGCAGGTGAGTAGGACTTGTCCTGGACAACTGGACAGGGGTCCCGTTCCTGAAAGCCCGATTAGCATTAATCCAGGATTAAAATTTGACAGTGATGGGTAAAAAATAATAAACATATCGCCCCACAAATCACAAAATTTCACCCACCTTTGCACTCAAAATAAACAACTTTAAAATTTTGTGACTTCATAGAGCTATAACCTTCCTAGGAATATTCTTTTCACACTCCACTATTACAGATGCTTTCTGATATGGATGCCAATTCATGGCCTAGCTATAATGACGCCCTGTTAGGTAAATATCAACAGCGACATGCCCTTGTAACTTTGACATAAGATAGATAAAATGGTGACAACCAACACAGATATATGGGTTGAAACTGCCACAGTAATGAAGACAGGGACATGGGTTTCTCCTCACTATGTGAAACAATATACACTTAATGTTAGATCTCCAGGGAAACAGTTAGTTTTGTTTTCCAAGAGTCCTGATGTTTCCCCGAGATGAAGTCTTGAGAAACATCAGGACTCGAGGGAAAACAAAACTAACTGGTTTCCCGAGGGACCCATATTTCTAGACTTTCACTTCAACAGCAACATAGGAATCACCGGAGCGAATCAAAACAGCCGACTTGGTACTTACAAGAACACAAATAATTTGTATTCATTCAGTGGTTTTGAGAATTAAATTATTTAATTCTCAAAACCACTGACTAAATGATCATGAATGATTTACAAAGCACTTTCCTTATAATATCTGCATATGTTTCCTCCACTAGCTGCCGTTTCTCTTTCAGGATATCTTTGAAAATCATCGCTTTTAAGCCTGAGGCTTTTGTTTGTGTTGTTGTGTTCAGTCACAAAAAAGAAAACTGGCAGTGCTTTTCCCCCTTTCTGTCACGCCACTTTCCACCATGCTTTGATAACATCCGTAATGTATCCCAAGCGGGGTACAATTGCTCAAATGTATCACAGTCAAGAATCAACCGGTGGCATTCCTTGTTTAGTTGAGTGAAATTAGTATAAAAATAGTTTTTGAAATTCATTCTAGGAACAACGGAACCCCCTCCCCCCACACAGAGGGCTTCTATAAAATATAGGAGTTGATATTTTGTGGAATAATTAGGGGGAAGTGTATCTTGTCCAAAAAAGGAAGACTCTGCCCTTCCAAAGGTTCATCTTGCCTACCAACCACTTGTCACTCAGGGATCTTTTCATTCCTCCAATCCAGTCAATGAGCATCTGTTATTATATGCCTAAAACTGTGAGTGAGCAAGATAATGCAAATCCTGCATTCTGATTGGTTACCTGAGTGGCTACGTGAGCAGGCAAGATGGGACTCTGGATTTCCCGCGTTAGACCCCCAAGAGAAAGTTTTCTTTTTCGCCATATAATAAATCCTTTGTTGGCCAAGTTTGTTCGGTCAAGATCATAGCTACATCTTCTTGGCCTTATCTTTTTTGCATTTTAATGACCTTGACGAATAAAAATGCAAAAAGGAACTTGGCCAATATCCAGCCATCGCCTATTTTGATCTCACGCTTGGTCATTAACGCATATCTATTCTACTTCCCTGCTAGCAGAGGTCTCTCACGACGTGAGAGACCTCTGCTAGCAGGGAACTACTCTACCTACCAGCTGCTCCAAGTTCTTAGCCATAGCTCGCAAATGTCTCACAGAGACACCGCTAACAATTACAAAGTAGTCCACATAGCTTCGTCTGTCTCCACTTGTCTTAACTACACAGATTTCCATAGCATTCTCTCTTTTTAGGAAATCTACAAGATCCTCTATGTTCATAAAACCATCTTCGTCTAACGTGTACTCAGCAAGGGTAGAATGCAATCTGCCACGTGGTGAACTGTTGTCTACAACTGCCATTTCACCTGAACTGAAATTAGAAGTCGCTATCGTCTCGCCAGTTAATATGACATCCTTTTTATCATACGACGTAAGGCTTTCTTTAAGGAAACAGCTTGCAGTACTCAGAAGCCTACATGAAGCTGGTGAAAACTTTCTTGGTAGATCAACAAAAATGAAGAAGGCACGAGCATCGCTGCAAATGTACCTTTGTTCAAGGACAGATGAAGCCTTGGCAAACCGGTAAGAACAAAGCCCAAGGCTCAGTGACTTAGAGAATGATGAAAACTTCCTAGCTTTGCAAGATAACATGTCTGTAGTTCAGTTCAGATGACCTCCGCCATTTTAATTTGGGCCTCGCTTTCATGTCGAATCACAACCACAGGATCACCAGCCCAACTCCCAAAACAGAGAGAAAGGAAAGGGCGTGGCCGCATGGGTGGTTCACGCGGGTGGCGGGTGGCGGGTGGCGGGTGGCGGGTGGCAAGTGGCGAAGCTTAGACAGAGTTCAGAGAGAGAGCATTTTCTGAGAAAAATGAAAAAATTCCATTAACTGATCATTGTATACTCTCTCATTCCCCATAGAAACATGGTAGAAAAAATAAAATTGCTGGTTTTCAGTGTCACGCCATTCAAAATAGATCGAAATAAAAATCAAAACTGTTCGATAGTTTGAGTCCTGAATCTGGGAAATGAAAGGAGGTAAATATGCAAAGACCCTCGCCAAGGTTCGGGTCAGAGGAATATTTCGTGTATGAGATGCCCGAAGAAATGTTTTAGGAATTTGTATGGAGACGCCATGCTGGTGCCCACCTAGATGGGCACCAACATGGCGGACTGGAAACCAACAGAAACATCTCTTACCAAGTTTTGCTACAAAAGCGTGAACTTATCCCTCGAGGAACTC